CAAAATTTCTAAAATTTTGTACAGTGTTTTATTAATGTAATATCTAGTAACTGTTAAAATTTCAATGCTTTGTCATTGTCTTTTTGTAAGGGTTCATACAACATTAATCGCGTTTGAACAATTGATATCTGGCAATTGATCGATAATCGAGGCATTGATTGCGGTGCCGCGTTGCAATTAAAATAGATAATTGAAGACGCGACCGATTAAACGCAGCTTTCTTGTTTAATTAACGTCGACCAGGAAGTTGTTGGATTAATTAATATCGTTTCCCTTTCGAACGCATACTTGTTAGGATATAAATGGGATCGATATGGAAGCGTTCAATTCGGTAAATAAGTACACGTTTACTTTCTCTCTTTCAGTTTAGATAATAATCACTAACGATGATCGTGTGCATTTTCTGCGTTATCTGTTTCTTTTATCGTAATGAGAGAATTTTAGTTGTAGCATTTCATTACTCGTGTAATTCAACAATTCTGAATAGTTGGGATGAATTCTTTTTATACTCCTTGCTTTCAAATATCTAATAAATAAACAAATTAGATAAGTTCTTGAATTAATTTATATAATTGAATAAAAATCCTGACGCGAATTGAATAAACCTTTCCAGATTCGCACTTGAACATCACATCTCGCGTCAATGGTCGAGATCGGAAGAGAGTTGGCGCAAAAGTCAGATTTCAATTTCAGATACTCCATCGAGCGAAGGGTTTTTCTCTCGGAAATTCAGCCTCCTCGTATCTACGTACGAAATCGAAGATTTAATTGCCAGCTTTTTTTCTTCGCTTCGTAGCTTGAATATCTCGCGATCGATCGATAATGAATGCACAAGCTGCTAACGCTTCCCAACGGGCGTTCGTACGAAAATATTTCTTTCCTGTTTAAGAACTTCGAATTCCTAGACCGTGCAAGTAAGATGCGTACGAAAGTATATCGGTAGAACGCAAATTTCAGTTTATCTGAATTTCCTTTTTTTAATTTATCTTAAATGCATCTAGAGATAACGATTCTAGTCAGACATCTCAAATTGCAATGCCTGCGAAGTTATGGTAATTTGTTTAATTCCAACCGGTTTTAGCTAAGCGATCTCAACGTTGTTTTCCTCATCTGCTTTACATACATATGACCATAGTTAGAGGCAACTGTCGGACGAAATTACAGAAAGAAGTGCAGCCTAGCGTACGGGCACTTATTACATTTTTGATTAATTGCTTAATGAACTATGGACGGGAGTGTACGTATCGGAAGATCGATAAAGCGTATTTTTACCTTCGTGCAGAACGTCGGTCCTTGGGATTTTACTGAGAATCGTGAAAGCGCGGCGCGAGATGGAAAAATCGGCGATAAGAGCACGCGAGGAACGAAGATGCGCGAATCTTCCGCTCGGCGGAGCGTGAGCCGATAAAATATGTATCGTTGCCGTGCACTCGCCGCGGGAATTCCTTTTCCTCGTTGTTGTTGTTGTTGTTGCTTTTCCTCCTCTGCAGAGGCCTTGGCGCACTGCGTGTACGTATACACGACCAAGCCTTGCAATATCCTTGCCGGGGTTCTCTCCTGGAGATTTGAAATAGCAAAGAGAGGAATTGGAAACGTTCAATCGGTCGCGCCTGTTATGCTCGGAATTCTCAATCCACTACATTCTACTTTTCACAGTAAAAATATGGAAAATTGTAGCACATAATATAACGATTATTCCCATAACTTATGTTTGTTAACATCGCCAGCAAATATTATTGGAACATTTTGTTCGTATTTATTTAAACGAAAAACGAAGTAAGCGAAGATAATTATTTTTTCCATCGCGAGCTATGAAAGACTTTCAAACTGAAGTCAAAGTGGTACAAAGAAACGGATCCGCAACAGAAACTCGGATACGCCGTTATTGCAATGAGTAACAAAGAAGGCGTTTCATTAAGAGAAATCGCGAGAGAATCAGGTATTTCGTACAATGGAAAACACATAGGCTCAGAAGACGCGATGTTTCATATAAACCCCTAGGATCGTTTGAAGCAAATTCTCCAGTACTTTAAGTTACAATCCAGATAGTTCCACAGACAAATATTTCAGTGTCATTTAGTCTTAACAGATAATAAAGTCAGTTTTAATGAGGGCAGTTGGAAATAACTGGTATTTAAAATATACGGAAATTAGTACTTCCACTGATAATATAAAATTTACTGATTATCTATGGAAGGATGACTACTTTAAAAAATAATTTTAAACTGTGCGTTCCGTTAGAATACATTTTGTCTCTATTGATTTTTATATAACAATTTTACTAAACAAATTATATAAGTCGTTGGTAAAAATAACGCCGTCTCTGTTGATTCCGTTAAAACGGAGATGTTTTTCCCCTTTCACTCAATTGTATCACGTAATACCAGAAGAACAGTGTGAAATTGCGTACACGCCACGGTGTTCACCTAATTTTATGCAACTGTTACAGACGCTGGACTTCGACAGAGATGGCCTGACGAAGCTAAAGAAAGCGATCAAAGCTATACACAACTCCGGAAACGGTAAGCAGCATAATGCATTTATTTATAGATACATTACGTTTTTTCTTCGCTATACGTATAGTTCATACAGTTCGTGTTTTAATGATTATTTTGTATAATAGTGTATATTACGGTGTATTCGAGTGTCGATTTGCCTTTCAGCTCACGTCGATAACGAGGTGTACCTTGGAAGGGCACTGGAAAGGCTCGGCGATGCCGCATTGAAAGAACAGGAACCGGATATCGGCGCCGCTTTCTTGAAATTCGCAGTCGTCACGAAGGAATTGAGTGCTTTGATGAAGACTTTGGTACGTGCAAACGCATTCAAACGTATCCGACGCTTTTAAGCTTTATCAAACTAACAGAATACCGACAACTGTATCTTCGTTCAAGCGATATTAATCTTTGAATGAATAAATGAACGTCGCAGCAGACTTAAAATTTATTATATTAATTTGTCTATTTTCCGATCCTTCGATGATTCATTGTTAGAAAGTTTAATCAATTTTTAAAAGAAAAATCGATGCCATTCACAAACGGCAATCGTTGCCTTAATACGCGTCAAATAAAATAGCTGCAGCTGTGACGAAGAGTTAATTGAGAATAATCGGCGACAGATGCAGAACATCAACAACATCGTGATGTTCCCTCTGGACTCGGTGCTAAAGGGTGATCTGCGAGGTGTGAAAGGCGACTTGAAGAGGCCGTTCGAGAAGGCGTGGAAGGATTATGAGGCTAAGTACGCGAAAATCGAGAAAGAGAAGAAGCAGCACGCGAAAGAGGCCGGCCTCATTCGAACGGAAGTGACGCCTGCTGAGATCGCCGACGAGATGGAAAAGGAGAGGAGATTGTTTCAATTGCAAATGTGCGAGGTAAGCGAGGCCGTCGAAACGGATCTGGAACGCTCGCACCACTTGCCTGTTTATTATTATCATTTAAATTAAATAATTTTTATTTTTCTTCACAGTATCTTATAAAAGTAAACGAGATTAAAACGAAGAAAGGAATTGAACTGCTCCAGCATCTAGTCGAGTATTATCATGCACAGACCAAGTAAGTTCAGTATGTACGAACTTGAAAACTTCTGTTCGATCGATTTTACTTAAAACCGATATTTTAATGTCCTACAGTTACTTTCAAGACGGTCTAAAAACCATCGAACACTTCGGTTCGTATGTAGCGGACCTTAGTGTGAAGTTGCAAAAAATTAGGCAAACGCAAGACGAGGAACGAAGGCGCTTAACAGAACTGAGGAATCTCCTAAGAAGCTCCGGTTGCGACAAAGAGGTAGATCGATAGCCGTGACCCTAAAAACGTTTTCAGAACTGGAGCCAATTCATTCAACATCGTGTATTTTTTAGTTGAACGTGAATGCGAATGCGGGATATTCGCTTCACCAACTTCAGGGTGACAAGCAACATGGGGTGACCAGGTCTGGGCACCTTTTGAAAAAGAGTGAGGGGAAAATGAGGAGAGTCTGGCAGAAGAGGCGTTGCGCGGTTCAAGCCGAGGGCTATCTGGATATCTGTCACGCGGACGAGAATAAACCACCGACGAGAGTGAATTTATTGACCTGTCAAATCAAGCTAGTGCCGGATGACAAACGGGGCTTCGATCTCATTAGCTGTAAGTTGGACTGTTAACCCACTGACAATGAGGTTTGCGTGACGGGAATTAGTTGATAGCAGGCAATGGGTAAAATTAAGTGTTACGCATTGATATATCGGAACATGACTATTCTTATTTAAAGTAGATCTATTTAAAGGTCGAGACATTTTGCTACTCGAAATATTAATAAAGAAGAGGTTGTACAATTTATTTCAGACAACAGAACCTATCACTTTCAAGCGGAAGATGAAGCAGACCAACGAGCTTGGATGTCCGTTTTGGTAAACTGCAAAGAACGAGCCTTGCTTCGAGCGTTCGATGCGAGTGGCAAGGCAGAAGCAGGTTCAGGAAATCCAAGCCTAGTCGAACTTCAGCAGGCTGTAATACGATGCGTTATGAGGTTACCTGGAAATGATCAATGTTGCGATTGTTCTTCGCAAAATGGTAAATATACTACATATAAGAAATATCTAAATAAAATGGGACGAATATAAAATAAATTCTTTCCTTTTAGACGCTACATGGCTCTCTACAAATTTTGGCATAATCGTGTGTATAGAGTGCAGTGGTATCCATCGGGACTTAGGAGTGCACATATCCAGAATACAGTCCCTTACCTTAGACAATGTGGGCACTGCCCAACTGCTTCTTGCACGGAACATGACTAATCAAGCATTTAACGAAGTGATGGAAGCCACATTACATCACAACGAGAAGCTATCCCCGACCTCGACAATGTAAATCAATTCTACATACAAATTTCCCATCTTCTTATTCGCGACTAAATTTGTTTCATTCGTACAGGGAGGAGAGATATGATTTTATTAGAGCTAAGTACGTGGACAAAAAATACGTGGTGAACACTTGCGCTGACGAACGAGACCTCCTTTCCGATTTGGAGCACGCTGTTAATAATCGTGATCTCCAACAACTTCTACAAGTTTATGCAGAGAACGTGGATCTGGCCGCTCCGTTGCCCACATCGGTAAAATTTGAAGACGCAAACTTATACATTTTTCAAAGTTTTAATCTGACAAGTTAAAATGTATGTCTTGATTCCAGGATGTGGGCGCAACAGCATTGCATTTAGCGATTTTACGCGAAATGGGAAATAGCTTACACATCGTGGATTTTCTGGTGCAAAATATGTCGACCGGTGGTATAGACAGAACCACTATCGACGGTGAAACAGCACTGCATGTGAGCGCGAGGCACGACAGAGCAGAGGCGATGAAGCTGTTGCTGCGAGCTGGAGCGAATCCGACGTATCGGAACAAGCAGGATAAAACGCCGCTCGACATCGCGCAGGAAATGGGCCACCACACATGCAAGGAACTGGTAAAGCGTCACGGCATTGCCGCCTAATTTATATAACAATACCGTGTCGTTGCACACAATGACCGGCGACCGTTTTTCATTGTCCAGTTGAGTCACGCTCTACAAAGACAAAAGACATTGTTCGACAATGTTAATATCGATTGGAATCTATCGCACGATGAAGGATCCACGGATTTCTCCGATGACGAAACGATAATAGAAGACAGGGTAGGTTTAATTGATAATTAAAATACATACAATATTAATAGTAGTGAGATATTACAATGATGATTCATCTAATTTGTTCAATCATGTTTTTATTATAGAATGGGTGTTTAACGCCCGAGAAGAAGTCTCGCAGTAGACCGCCGTCTTATGTTGGTGGGGGTGGCAGCGGAGGTGGTACCGGATCAGGAGATTCGCCAGTCACTCTACGCAGTCGAAGTAGTACTTGTGACAGTCTGCAAAGTGGCTCTTCTCCAAGTTCGTCGACGAATAGACAACAAATGCCGCCACCACCACCGCCTCAGTCAAGGAAACCTGTTGCTGGTACGTCGTTATAACAGGAACATTTCTCACAGCTACGCTTTACTTGATAAACGAATCGATATTCTGTATTTTGGTTTCAGTTCCTGCACCAATGGCGCCGGATATTCCGGTCAATATCCACGGGTCGTTGAAGAAGCGCGTCGCACCGCCACCGCCACCGACTGGAAGCACAGGTGGTATACCCTCCTCTCATTACGGTACGCTACCTTCGTCCGCGTCCTTAGCAGCATCGACGCATAGCCGTACAACGAGTGAACCGATCTTAGCTGGGCATTCTTTACATACTCTACCACATGCGTTAAATACATTAAACAGTCAACACCATAAAAGATCGCCCAGTGGAGATTCTTCGACGGGACACGGTGCGTTTTGAAGTTTTCAGACTTCCCCCATGAACCGCCGTTCTCGGGGTTCGGGACGTATATTCGACCGCGTTCCAATGTTCGTGTCCGTTCGTCAAATTAATGTTTCCACGTCTCGTTGTCGTTCAGGTACGGACAAAATGAACAGCTCGACGCTACAGAGACCGAGAAATCCGCCGCCGCCGGCTCCTTCCGGTATCAACTCGAGATTAAGTAACGGGCGCAGCAGCGAGTCGCTGAGCTCCATGTGCTCCGATCACGGTTTGGGTAACCCCGTCCCTCCCCCGCGCAAGGTAAGTTCCACCGTTATCCGACTTCATGATAACTTATATAGATTTTGTTAAAAATTAAATAAAAAAGTTGGCTATAGCCAGTTTTTCATTAGTACCGAATATATATTACAAGTATCTATACTGACATCGTGGAAAACTATGAGAAAGTATGATGATTTAATTATAAGAAATCGAGGAATAACTATTTATTTAGTATTATTTTTAAGAATACTCAATGCGAGCATATTATTTCGCGCTAAGGCGAATGATGTTTTATTTGTATTTTATTTTGCGCATATCAGTCATCGATGCCGTTAGACATTTAATAATACGATACCTTTTAACGCCGTATGTATGTTGCACATCCATTAACACGCGACAACTTAATCCATTTTAATCAATCATATCATACTATGACGATGTCGTCGACTAACACGTTGTTATTCCTACCACTATTTCCATGTAGTTACTTAACAGATTTTAGATTCTTGCTACATTACATGTCATACTAATACCTATGGTTCAGTGTTTTCATGTATTTACGCATTTCTTACAAATCGTACGAGTTCACCTCATCGATGTCGATCCCAATTGCAACGACACGATGCACTTCTTCATTATCATCAATCATAAATCATTAATTCACGTCGTTTAAAAAAGTAATTGGAGCAAACGATCTCATGATTAAATTTTCTTCAAAGGAGAAGGTCTGCTATTAGAATTGGAAATACATGTATATCTTTTTTTTCAAATTGGTATGAATTCCAAATCAGTAATTAGACACTGCATGTAACTTGGAAGATGGTGCTTTATGGTTTGTTATTAACCATTGTTGGTACAGCGAAGGGACCGGGCCAGGCTAGAGAGCTACGCCGAGGAGCCTTCATCTTTGCTCCCAAATCTGAATCTGGTAAACATCAGCCATCCCACATTACTGCTTACTACACTTGAAACGTCTATTAAAATTAATCAATGCTTATTAAACATGACTAAATTTATAATTGAACTGTTTCTTTCAAGTGTAGTAACACTGCATGATCAATCGTGCTGTAACCATTGTTTTTCCGTGTCAATGTTTCTTTGGATTTCTTTAAAAACATAACACCTCTTAGCTCCTTCGTTCGATTCACCCAGAAACATTACCGTTCCCGGTGCGCTATTTCGTTTCCAGTTGCATTTACGCTGGTAATTCGATCTTTGCCAAACGGAACGCGTAATTAGGAGAAAATCCTAAGCGTCGACCTAATTCCGCCGGGACGAACTAATCCGATGCTTTCAACGATTCCTAACTCCACTGATCTAACGTTTTAATTAACCGAGACGCGCGATGCCTCGGAAAGTGTACCTACGTGCTTCGTAATTTAATTCGCATGAATCTGCTCTGAATTTGTGTTTGATAATGGCACTTGAACGCACCGAAACTCTTAAACCGTATTACTGATGTATATAACTAGTATACCCTTGTAAGCCAATCTTGTTCGTCACTGATTTCGAAAATTCAATACTACTCGTAACTGGCATGAAATTGGTGTTCATATATTATTGGAAATTCTAGTTTAGTCATAGTACAAAGTAAGTTTAATTATAGGTGAATAAGATCGTAGGATTAAATGCAGTACGTCTCATTTTTATTCACAATAGATCAAATCAGAAACTTATTTAGATTAGACATTTATAGTACATATGACATTAGTCTTATAGTTGAAATTCAACAAACCAACATATCACAACACATTGCGTACAGCTAGAAAATATCTGGCTTCTCTTTTTTTTTAGTGCTTATTAAATTTCAGAATATCGTTATACAGCTTATATTTCACCAGCTTAATATTTAAGTACAAATATTCGAAATAAAGGAATTGTAAAGTGTACTTGCTGAGTGTCTGCCGAAATTGCGATGCAGCTTGATAAAATCACGAAGTGAATGCATGTTAAAGAAACTGTCGTTTAGTTTCAGTAGATCAAACAGCTTGAGTGTGTAATCTATGGTTCTCTTAATTATCGTTTAAACATCATTATTCCTCTATTTCTGATTGCTAATCGAAGAAGATATAAGTGAATTGTTTTTATAAGTATGAACGTATATAAACATTAATATTTTGTTTGTTAAAGTTGAACGAAAGAAAATGGAACGTCTGCTAGACCATCAGTTGTAATTTATTTCTGAAATTTAACTGACTGAATGATACGTGTAGGTAGTAGCTATGTAATAGTCATTTCAGTTGTTACAAAATATGTGAATAAAATTTTACGAAAGATTGAACGCTATTTATATGATATCAATAACTCGCGTGGATATTTATTGAATAATAAAAGCATTCTTCAGAAGATGAGTATCTACACAAATGATCTGCCCCAATTTATTAATCCAGAACAAAACGTATCTCTTCTAAAATCTCATCATTGGATATACACTGTACGCAATGTGTTTCGTGTACCATATCAAAATGTTTGACGAGTAACATTACACATCCTTTTACGCATGATGTATAAAATAAAAATCCAACAAGAAAGAGAATAAGTAATAACTCCGCATAGACAATGAAAAGAACTAGTGAATGGTGCACGAGTCTCGAAGAGACTGTCCTTCCATTTCTAGAATTTCCAATTTAGCTACCCTTGCGACCCAAGGAAGAAACCTTCTAAATTCGACTCGCAATTACGAGTTCTAAAAAAATGCTTGCCTAGAGGACTTGAAAAGAGGAAAGAACAGACACTGGATGTCTCAGTCGATGCGATTCATGTCTACGGCTAACGAACCGTTTTCGAACGATCTCCTTGTAGCCAACGTCGTCGACTCTGAGCGGTTTAAGACGGTGCCGGGCCTTATACGACTGCGAGGCTGACAACGAAGACGAGTTGTCCTTCCGGGAGGGCGAGGTGATCATCGTGACTAACGAGCAGACCGACGACGACAACTGGATGGAGGGTGCCCTCGAAAGAGCCCCTGAGAGGAGGGGTATGTTTCCAATCAGTTTCGTGCACATGCTACAAGATTAACATTCGGTAAGCTTGAACTCGTTGGCAAACGTATCGAGTACTGCCGTGTCGGTGAGCGTAGCGAGCCTCGGCAGGAAGTCTTGGATGAGGAAGTTGAAGTAGTAGAACAGTAAGAGAAATCGCAACGCGATTCTCCTGACACTTCTGTTTCTTTTCGTTTCAAACTTATGGATACCATCATCCTCAATGGAAATAAGATTGGAAGAATTTATGATCAAGCAAAGCTTTTTTTATGCTATAAAACATTTCCCAGTTTCCAAATTCATTCAAAATACTGATCGAACGTAGATCTGTTTTTGGTTCGTTACATGCTTCCTGATTCAATGTTTAACAAGAAGTGTTCGGTGACAGAGGAACAGAAACCGAAGGCCGACGGTCGAACAAAAGGAAAATTGTGATATAAGATATATTTCAGTATAAATTATTAGTATTACGAATCGGATTTAATCGAGAAAAAAGGAAAGGAAGCGATACGCTAATAAAACGTATACGCGTATAATCGAGCAGACGCAATGATCGGGTCAAGTCCATCGTGTCATTAATTAATAATTAAAACTGTAAACGATATCAGAAAATGGAAAAGTTATCTCTTAGGTGGGGCATGAATTAACTGACGCAAATAACTTTTTATTTTTTTGCTCCGTTCATCGTTTACTGTTCCATGTCCTCGTGTTATAGTAGAAAATTAATTATAAGCTGTTGATTATCGATTCTACTTCCGGCAACAAGTTTCATTCATCAAATATAAACAGCGAGAAACATATTGAATAAACGTTCACAGTTTCGTGTATGCAGACGAACTTAAACGAAATATTAAACGTATGCGTGCGCGCGTAATTGTGTTAACGAGAGGAAGAGAATACAGTGAAAACAATCTGTAATTTGTCGTATCTCTCAAACTGTCTGGCGCACACTTCCTTCACGTACTGCCAATGCTGAGTATACTCTGTACACGATACGTGTTCCAAGTTGAAATGAAACGACAAGCCGATGCGAAAGAGTTAAAAGAGTTGAACGTAAAAGGTACATGCCATTAAGAAATGTTTTATCACGATGAAATGAAAAGAACGATGCGACATTAAAAATAAGTGCATGACACCGATTAGTATTATTAGCGTATCTCGACTCTTAACGATTGCATGGTTACGAGCGTATGTACATTTTTGTAATGCCATATTATTTGTTAGTAAATAAATATATATATAATTATTATATATATATACGTATTGTGAAAAATAGAATTATAGAGATTTATTAGTGATTAAGAATATATAGAATATATATATATAAAAGATAAAAGAGAGAAGTATAAAAGAAAGGACCGGAAGTGAGCAGAGCTGATGCGTGTGTCTTGCGATTTGATCGAGATTTAGTGCGCCGGAAGCGAATTCAAACAATTTTTTTATTTCTTTATTAATATTTTTAGTCGAAACACGTTACATACACTCATATACGCGTACATATACGAGACCAAAGAAAACGTAATCGCGAGCTAGGTGTAACTCGCATCCGTGTGAAATGGGAACGGGAGTTTAATTAATTTTGTTTCCCTGAATGATTGTAAATTTTTTTACTGTGTTACTTCTGATGATGCAATGCGTGTGCTCGTTTTCCCTTCTCCTTCTCTTCGTCTCCACTTCTTTTCTATTTAAAAGAAAACCATCACCAAATAAACATATATAATTATTGTACGTATCGTGCACTATGCGAATCATATTTACGTGCTTGAAATGGGTTCGAAAGCGAGAGGATCGTAAAAAGAAAAATGAAATCGGTGAGCATTGCGGACTCCGTGTCCGTTGCCTAGTCGAGATCGGATTAGAATTATATGTATACTAATCATTACTTTTCCTTTTTCATGTCGTTTCCAAGACTCTACTTTTAATTTTAAACAAATCACTCTCGATCCTTTACTCCAATCATCCAATCAAAAGAATTATGTAGATAATTCGACAATAAGATCGTGAGAATCAAATGAAAAAATCGTACAAGAAGGAAATGTTTCTTTTGTGATCTCGCAGTGTGTGAAAGGAAGTAGAGTACTCGGAACGATATACAATTTCCTACGTGTTTATACGCTAGGCTCGCAACGCTTTACTACTTTACTCGAACGAAACGGACAAAGCTTTTGTATGAACAACTCTTGTTAACTATAGTATTTAACTAAATCGGCTAATGTAAGTACGTCGCGGTCGAGTTACACGATCAAACCGTTCTTAAATATATCCACTGCGACTCTTGATAATTTTCCTTTTTTCCAATTAAATATAATACTATAATCGATTCGATGTACGATCATAATGATCTATAAAATGTCCGACGACTACCACTCTGTGTAAAGAAGAACATAGTTGCGGAGGACTCGATATAATAATTGTTAAACGAAGATGAAGGTATATCGTGATCGTTGGTACTCTCAAAATTGAAATGTGTGCTTTTTGAGGCGGAGAGAGTATAAAAGAAGAGAATGAAAAATACAGGGTCAGACGCAACCAGTTTCAAATCACGTCGCTGTGTAATGCCAATATGTAATAAAAGAACAAAATGGATTAAGGGGAATCTGATCTATCTAGAGTTTAAGCTGCCTTTTTGACTTCGTTTCGCAACATCCTCGCAATCTTTCATGCTATCTTAATTAATAGAATACTTAAAGAAAACAGTGATTACATGTCGAACTATTTATCAAATCCTACGAAAAGAAAAGGTCTTTATCAAGTACGATGATTTACGTATTTATTGTTAAATATTTATGATTTTTTAACTTGATGTTTAAGACCAAAAAGTGTTCTAATACTTACGAATCCCTGCTGGAAGGTTGCGACGAATAGTGCCGTTGATCAATGTACATATGTGTATACAGTAAACGAGCGAGGTAAAGAGAGAGTCGATGTTTATATTATTAAGAGTAAACGATAACATAACGTCTTAAGTATGTACTATACGAATTAATAATTAACGAACAGCGAATGACTCCTGTTCCTCCGCGTGAAACTTCCGCTATCGAGTACCGTAATTATTATTAAGCGAAACGATTATTTAATTTGTTCTTCGGTGTGTACTGTACGTCAAAAAGCAAAATATATTGCTTCTCTTCTGTAATTTAATCAAAAAATATGCGCTCGACTACTTAATTTTTTTAATACAACGATATCACGCTAAATTTATTTTATTTTATCGCCATTCCTTTACACCTTTCCCAATATCTTTTGATTTATCAAAGAAGTATGTTACGATTATTTGTACATGATGAATATTGAAAATTTTAGAGAAATATTGCATAATGTATCTCTTATATAAATGATTCTTCTCACTTTGATATTCTATAGCATATCGTTAAGACTAAACGTAGAGTACATGTGTTCACTAATGAAATGTTTCAAGGATAACGTACCGCTCACTCTTCGCATATAGCGAATTGAATATTGTTCACAATCTACATTAATTAAATACTAACTTATCGTTTCAATATAAAAGCCATAGTGTTATTAAGAAAACTTGGACGAATGAAGTCAATAAAATATAAGACGAGGAGCAGGAGTCATGAGCATAATCCCTTGTCCTCGTTACGTTACTTTATGCATTTAAAGAAACAAGATGGAGAAAGCGTTGAGTAGACTATAAGTATTTATTACTATTCCATAGTTACTCGTAAGTAGATGAAACGCACGTTATGTAATTATACAAAAGGAATGATGGGAAACGTTTCAGGAATTTCTGAGGTGATAGAAAAACGTTTTCGGAGAGAGAAAAACAAACTACGCTATCGTATATCGATTAAGTGTTTATGTACCTAATTAATTGCCCGTGCTAATTAAAAGAGGCGAAATAATTACGTATGAAACACGAGTCGTTTGTCTTAGATGCGGCCTTCGGACAATATTCGAAACAGGTCTAAATATCGATATCAATATTAAACGATAATGTACTAACGTCTACTGTATCCTTCGCGACTAAATCGTTCTGAACGGGATTGACTCTCGAACCTCTGAAATGTATCAGAAATAAATATCATTTAGAGAACTATCAAACGGTACTACTTCTTCTTTTGATTAAATTATAATAGGAGAGAGAAACAGGTAGCAGTTATGTCCAACTCCCTTTTAGAAGATCGTAGAAAAATATATTTATTAGTTTACAAAGCTTACACGAAGTCAGCTTTAGGAGCTCTGTTTTAATACTGTTTAGAACTTATTGACTATCTAGCTCAGTTTTAATACTGTTTGGAACTTATTATAATACATCTTTAAAGAAAGCTCTGCCTAAACCTACATACGCCACGTAATCCATTTCTTTAATTTGACGATGCGACGTGTTATCTATTCCCACAGTCAATGTGACGTAATGATCGCTATCATTCCTGAGGTACACAACCCACAGCTGGGTCTTCAGTCCCCTGTTCTGTCGCTCCAGCCTCTGTAGAATATCGGCAGTCGTCATTGGAGTTCCAGGAATTGAAATATCTACTTGTTTAAGCTTTGGTATTTTAGTTGAACTACTGCTATTCTTATCGTCACTGCTCCATATACGAAGGGACGCACCTGGCCAAGGTTTCACACCAGGCACAACGCATACCAGCCACCTTGTAGAGTACATATCGGTGCATTGTACCCATAAAACACCTTCGAAGCATCGAGTATGCTCGAAACGAGGCACTTCCGACCCGTGAGGAATTTGATCCAGCATCTTGGAAATTTCTTCGATAATCAAGTCTCCTTGACTCACGGTTAATCTCGTTTGCGGATAATTCGATGGTACTATAGCTAATCTTCTACCGCCATTTATTTCGGTAAGTGTATTAAGAAGTTGATGGGCCAAGGAGCTTAATGTGCCGTCGGTATTTGTTTTGATTTGCTTCTTCTCTGATTGCGCGATGACACGAGCTTGTGCACTTGAAGGCTTGTTGAATATTTTCTTTTCCTTCTTTGGTTGATAACCGGAACAAGAAGGCTGATTCTGCGTATTTAAAGCAATAACTTCATTTTGACTATTCTTATTTCTCGAACGTTTCTTCTTCTTCTTCTTTCCGCTGACTTTGGGAATAGTTTGCACGTCAACAGGTTTCGTAGCCTTGGTTGCGCTAGCATTATTACTGTGCGAAGTAATAGGCCGAACAAAAGTCTTTGGTATCACATTCGTATCCGTTGCGAAATCAGACGTTTTCAATTCATTGTTCGAATTACTCGAAGATGGTGGTTTGTTTGTGAAACACCATGCCATCTCATTATCCTCCAAATCTTCAAAAGAATTTTCACCAAAGTTATGGTGCTTAATAAATTCGTTCGAAGTTTGTTCGCCGTAAGTGTATCCTGGTAATAGCACATCCGGTAAACCTCTATTGATGGCAACTTCCCTTAATTGTCGGATAGCATTTCTTGGATACGGTGACGATACGACGACCTGAGCCGTCGATAACGCAGGCCTGTTATCATTTTCATTGGACTCCGTTTTAGCTTTGCAGATCTCCTCACTCAGACTTAAATCTTTGGCAGTAGGTTTCACATCGGCTATCTCATTCTCATGAGCTCCAATTTTCGTTGCTGACTCTTCTTCCATCCTAGTCGGTGTCCTTCCCTTTACAACATTTCTTATCGGACTTAGAAAGATCTTCTGAATCTTGGTTAATTCGGGCTCATCATTTCGCTTCTTGCTCACATTCCTTTCATTGTTACAATCTTTAGGGCTTTGTTTGGATTCTGCGGTTGGAGATACAGTTTTCGGAATCTTGCTGGATTTTATTTCTGATTCATAGCTTGAATAGCTACGTTTATTAGATTTCTTAGATTCCGTTGTTGACCTCTTGCTTTCTGTCTTCAACTTATCGTATTCGCTTTGCTTATCTCCAACCAAACTCTTGGGACTATTCTCGTCGGATTTACGAGAGTGCTTGCTTTCCTTATGTGGCGTTAAATCTTCGCTTTTTCTCTTTTTGCTTCTATGATACCTTTCATATTTCTCGTGTTTCGTAGTATCTTCTGAAGTTTCTTTAGGTTCTACTGAATTATCAATAGTCTGTTCGTTTGGTAGAGAATACTTGGAAACTTCTTCAGGTCCTATAGTATCCTTAGATATCTTGTGAGATTGTAAACCAACGGTTGAACTGTCTTTACGTTCTACCGAATCATCAGTAGTTTTCTCGTTCTGTGGAATGTCTTGAGGAGCTACTTCAAGTCCTACATTCTTAAGGGTTTCTGTAGAACCTACAGAAGTCTCGTGAGACCGTAATCCAACGACGGAACTTCCGTTGTCTTCGTTATCAGTTATTTCGTCTTTGATGTTGTCGAGTAAATCAAGAAATTCCTGTACCAAACTGTTTGCTAAAGAATGTTGTTCTTCGAAGCATTCTTCAAAAACTTTGCCAATACCATCCGATTCTCCTGCGTTCCATTCTTGTTCCACTTTGATTTTAATCGAATCTGCAGACGGTGCGTCGCTTCGGATTCTATTATTACAAGAAAGATACTTGTTCTCCTTATCTTCATCCAGACTTCGATTCATCTCCACTTTGATCAATTTATCGACCTCCATTTTGTCTTCGCATTTTTTCCCTTCCTTTAAATCTTCATCGATGTCAGTATTAAGTTCATGAACCTCGTCTCGGATATCGTCCATGCAATCGCGTAACAGGTCTCCCGTTTCACGCCAACGAATATCCGTGCTTTCCACGTTTTCCCTTAACCCTCGAATAATCTCGTCAAGTTTTCGTTTTATGCCGAAAAAACTAGCTACGTAATCATCCTCATCGTTTTCAATCGGATCCTCGTCGAGTTTTTCCTCAACCTTAATTCTATGAGTCTCCACGGTGTTAATGAAGTCATCGTCATCCTCTTCTATTTTCCTCTTCTTCCCACTACCGCCCGCTTTCGTACTTTCAATTAAATTTTCGTTTGTATTATCCATATAAGTCCCACGAGTGTGCAGGTCCTGTCCAGTCGACTCCCACAGAGCCCGCTGTGCGAGAGTAAGGCTGATTACAACGGGGTTTCGCCCGGTACCCCGAGGGCATCGTTCGCGACTCCATAACTCAGGAGCCATCCAGCCGTCGGCACGATTGCTTCCACCTTAGCTTGGGGAGCCGGTCCGCGGCAGGGCCTTCGTTCCTCCGACTCAGGTTCCATTTAAACAACGTTCTGCTCCTCAGCCACTTGAAATCTCCAACGAATATCGATCTTCATAAATATCTACTTTTTAAACTTCGCAATTCTGTGCTCTAAAATTAATTCTTATGATGTTGTGGATGATAGGTAATATTGTTGCCTTCCAATAATTGCAAGTGACTGATGAGTTGAACATTCGTCAAATGGAACCCCAGTTTTGAACCGCCTACAAATAACAAGATTTCCATCCACGCAGTCGAACGACTCGTAAAAGCCATACGATCTCGTGAAAAGAAACCATGTTTATAGACAATCTTCGAAGGAACTTATAACACCTGCTAACCAAGGACTTCGATAACTTTCCTGTTTCTTCAACCTGGAGATCCATTTGGTATCAAGTGGAATTGCAGATAGAAGAAACAGGAATGTACCGAATTCCCTGGCCGTCCTCCTATCCGCCACCTGGAGACGCGCTCGGTTGGGGCTCAGGCCAGTCTCTCTATTCTCCAAGAGACATCCGAGTATGATTTATTACTTATTTATAGGCAACAATATACAAAAAATGAAATTTACCTAAAAATAAACGCCTATATAAATATTTATGCAATTAAATATTTGAAAAACATAAACGGATTAATTAATAATATATTCGGAGTAAAGGACGACACGTGTTTCTTTTTTATTTGCGTATGAAAAATTTTTTATTGAAAAATGTTCTTTCACGCTACAACGTCAGTATACCTTCGTCTATTTAACGTTATAACAGTACAAAAATTGCATTTTTACAAGTTATCCAGCTTACGTGACTAAAATATCCCAGTTAGCAATCTGACAATTCAAAAGCTACATCTCTTAATATAAATAACAGAAGGCGCCGTGTTATAGCAGAGGCATTCTTTGGCCAAAAACGTAACGTGTACCAGTCTCAATTAGTATCGTCACACTCTTCCCTCGAAGAATTGATCGAAAGTATCTACGACCGAATCTATCCGACATACTTCGATGGGATCGGTGCTCGTCTCATGGTTCACAAATGTATTTGAACACTCGATGTAAAGGTTTCTAAAGGCTTTGCCTATACATTTTCTTGACTGAGAAATCAAATTTGCTAACCCGTAACGCGGAAACACCGAACAAGAAAAAGAAAAGTGGATTCGCGCACGGACTCGTTAATCGATCTACCGTTAATGAATCTCGTCCGCTGGCCAAAGCACGCCTGAAAAGAGCAGAAGCCGTCCGAGACGAGGAGGCATCGATTACATTCCACACATGATTACGCACACCGATCGTGGATCTTATTATTTACTATAGCTGCTTCTGTTTCTCACGAAAGTGTCACGGTTCTCTTGCTACCTGGGCTATCGTCGATGACGCAATGATTCCGGGCCGGAAACTTGCTGCGTTTTTTATCCTATCATATACGCTGTGAAAAATGTTTCTTCTTCGTACTCGGAAACGAGTTCTACGTATTCTATTTCTTCTTATTCTCTCTCGAGAGATACATACTACGTGTACGTTTGCTAAGTAGTCGATTACCTGAAACGCAAGCATCCGGCCAAAGAGGATACATCCTGTGCTAATCGCTGGAGCATTCTAACTTAATAAATTCGCTCGGTCCGCACGGTACAATCTCTGTCTCTCCTCTTTAAGCGAATTGAAAAAAAAAGCAAAACCGTGCAACGAATGGATAAGTCCCGCTACACGTGTGCGACGAAGCGTTTACATAAATACATAATGGACCAGCTTTTTTTAAAAGCTTCAGTCGAATCCCGCGAGAACTTAAAACGTCCCGAACGGATACCCTTCACGTTTTGTAACCGTCGAAGATCTACGCGGTTTCAAATTCTTTTAGAAGATCGTTCCTACATCTTGATTACAGCCGATTTTATCACAAACTCTCCAAGCATCCTTAGTCGTACTAATTAAATGCGCAAAATCAAATATCTTCAAACTTGTTCTCATTACTTCCAAGTAACATGTGGAGAACGCTTTTCCAAAAGAATCTGCACTTGTAAGTCTTCGAGAATATCGATTACGAGAATTTAATTCTAATATCGCCTTATCCATTCGATGCCATCGAGTCGCAATAAGCTGTGCTTCTGCCGAAATCCACCGATACCAGTCGTGTTCTCTCTCTCTCTCGACTAAAATCACATCGAAACAGTGGTGCTCGATACACAGCGGTGTCCGCCTCTAACAACCGCATTTCTGTCCCGTTTAATTGACACGAAATTATACCACTAAATTCGAATCACGCGTTTCAAGTATTATTCGAAATGAATTGAAGATTGGCAAGTGACAACCGATTTTCAAGACATGGATAATACACGCGTTGGGACATCAACGAGCCGTCTATTAGGCGGACGTTTACTGTAACAGCGTAAGTACTATAAGCGCAACGATTTCTTCGTATCTCGTCTACCTAACAATTGTCTCGCATCAGATTGCTATCAACTATATCTTCCGTTTCTCTAAAAACAAAAAAGAGATCGACACGCGTCGTCGGATTTCTTCTTCATTCCTGCGGCCATCAATCTTTGGCAGAATCACGCTTTCATTAGATATCTCTCTCTCTTCGTGCCATCTTCTTTTCGTTTTGTTATGTTATCGTGCACTTCGATGCGGATAATATCTCTTTGCGTTTCTTAGCTAGTTTTCAGGTCCTGCCCTTTTTTTTCTTAAAATCGTTCGCATCATTATTCTAGACACTGCGTTTCAGTACGAAATAATAAATCCTACGTTGAACGAGTTTCCTGAAGTCGTTTGGAAGCAGTCTTTCAGCTTTATTATTTTTTTTGCATGCGTTCACGCAAAAGTCATATACTCTCGCTCGGCTTGTTTCTTCCCCTTTTTCTAGTCCTTCCTCGAGTCTTCCTTTTCATTCTTTTATTTTTTCCTTTTTCAATAGCGCGCGTACATATTATTATCGTTCCTCCCTCCATTTTTGCGCGGCTAAAGGTACAAATAAGATCTATACATGTTTAACACTGGTAGAAATTAGAAATTGTATTCCCATTTGACTAGCTTTTGACTGTCACTCCAGAAAAAAAATAATTGTTACATGGTCGTCTATCGCTATAATATCCTCTGACCACACGAAACATTTCTCTGGGATTCTAGTCTGATATTATTTATCGTGTTATATGTTACGTACGCGTGAATGTATGCAATGATCTCATGTACGAAAATTGATCGTATCTTTTATAGAAATTGGGGGAAGGAGTATGGAACGAATGACCATCGTAAAATATCGTGTCATTCCTTCGAAGCGCTCTGGTTCTTATTAGACGTCGTTAAAAAACATCAAGATATAGCATAAAAAAGTGATGAAAATAATTTCGTATTGCTGATTCTATTGTTTTCATCACAGGATCTGTTTAAATCATCAGATAACATCACCTACTAATTTACGAAAAATTTTACGACTTCTAATTAAAGTCCAGAGCTGAAATCTGTCCCGCGTAGACGATTCGCCTGAACAGACTGATTAATTAAATCGAGAAATATAAACGCGCGTCGTTACGTGAATTCTAGTAAGAGTACAATCGTTAGAATAAATCGTTACAACCTAAGTATACCGCTGGCAAAGTTACTCTCTTCGTTATACTCCGTTTCTCACGCATATGTAAAATGTATTTAACGCGTTCTCTCCCGCACTTGCACACACGGTTCATCATATTCATACTTCCTATCGCGCGACGACTCTAATTCTTAATATTTTGACAGGTTTTTCCTTCCGCAGTCTTTCCAATTGTTTTTATTCACGCGGCCGTGCAGCTGTCGCTCGAGAATTAAACGAATGCAAAAAACGTCCGAAATTCACCGCACGGCTCACGGCGCGTGAATTGTTCAGTCTTTCGTTTATATATATATTTTTTTTCTTTTCATTATTATTTGTTTACGTGTCTCGCTTGTATTACTTTATCGATACGTTTATATCAGTTTTATCGCTAATACTAGTATATAGCTATTAAATTTAACCGTCCTCGATCTTCTCCATCTTTGCTCACCTACTCTCCTCCCGTCCGCTCTCTCTCTCTCTTTCCGATCCTTGTTACACGAAAAATATTATGCTACGTTTTACCTCGCGACGTTTAATTACGTTTAAAATGCTAATAAGTGCATATTCTTCTTTTTAATAGAGTAGTATGATGTACGCTTATAATTTAAAGCCACAGATTTCGATGTCGCGCCATATAAGTATGACGCAAATTCATTCTTTCCTTCTTTCTCGGCGCGCTACATAGATGTATGTGTATAATTTTAATTATTTAGTTTAGTTTTATACCCTTATTCTCTTGGCGTTTCGTTCGAGACACACCTTTTTAAGGCCTTTAGAAGTCCATTTATTGTTAATTCATCTTCGTAATCTTGTTCTTTTTGTCTCCTTGTTCCTTTCTTCTCATTCCCAGATTTGAAACAAGAAACACTCTCTCGTTCGCATGCGAGGGTAAAAAATCCCGAGATCTGTGCGAACCACAAAGCATACACGCAGCTGTGCCGTCCTCCTTCCTTCTCTTCTCTTTCTTCCTTAGAAAGAGAATTTGAAAACATGTATAGCGATGGTGTTTTATTTATTTGTTTCGTTATTTTTCTTCGCGTCCTTCTCGACGCATCGTCAGATATATATCTTGCCTTTAAGTATGCTTTCATTTTTTATTCTTTCTTATAGGGAGAATTATACGGTAATAATACAGCGATAGTGGAGATAGTGTATAATAGTACTCGTAATAGTAGTAGAGTAGATGTGAGGGCTACTTGCAATAGAGTAAATGGTAATAGTAGCAGCATAGATGAATAAGGTGATAATAGACGAAGCAGCCGTAACGATTGAACGATAAAAAGTAGTAACAGCGTGAAAGTATAATGATTAATGGTATTAGTGGTCACCCGGAAAGAATGATAATAAAGGGTAATAAGGATTTGCGCATGCTAATAATAGCTATAATGGTGAAAATAATAATTATACGGCGAACAGTGTAGATTACGATGATGATAACGAGTATGGAAATTGGCTATCGATCGGAGTAAGGGACGATAGCAAATTAGAAATAAAGTAGTGAGTTAACAGCAAGGCTGTGACGGTGAGTAGAGTAGAATGAAGAGACAATTGTCATAATAATAATGTTAAAAAAAAAGAAGTAAAATCAGTCAGTTCGTTAAAATGAATTACGTTACATTAGTACAATATGTCCAGGTGTTTTAAAATCAGACAAATTCCATTTCCCGAAATGGATAACACGAAAAAAATAATTATATTGCAAACAGCGCACAATAAATGTGGTGTACCTTTTTTCGTCCCTATTTTTTTCGTTTTTTCTTTTTTAATATATGTTATACGTTATTATTTTTTTTTCTTTTATCCGCTTCCCATAAAATTCTATATATCATATGTGTATACATATATATTTTTTTTAATATAATACATTTAATATATATGATGCAGCAAATAGTCAAGGAAAGAATCTATCTTCCTAATAGCATTTGGCTTGCCAAATTCTGTCAGTTTCATTTAAATAGTACAATTGCATCGGGCATAATAAAAAATATTCTTTTTTTTTCGTTTTCCTTTGCGTCATTCGAACGCGTCGCAAAACTGAGTTCTCTCTCGGTGCAAATGCCTCAAAAATGTTTGGACATTTCTTTCTTTTTTCATTTGGTAGGGCTATTAAAGCGTGAAATATATGTGCATGCACGTTTCTTTTTTAATTACGCGCAACTTGTCAGCACTCTTTTTATATCATTGCTGTCTCTTCATACATTCGCAAGATGTACGGAAATCAGTCTTGCACTCATCTGGCTTTGAAAGAACGGAGCTCGGACACAATTTATAAGTTTTTGTTTGTTTTTTAAACAGGACTTACTGCGTGAATCCCAGTGAACAAAAAACTGTTAGCGGACAGCTATATTAGGCCTCACCGAAACCGCCGATCGCTTGTTCTGTCATTCTTAGACACAGAGATTCGAGACGAGAGTTGATTTCCGGCTCCGTAGTCTCCGATGCATTGTTGCTACTCGGGCTAAGAAAATGATCCCTCGGCGCACTGTATGTACGTTGCAATGTTCTTTGCAATTGCTGAAGCACGAATGAAAACGGATTAAATTGGAAACATCTAAACCCACGATCTAACTTGATATTTACCTGTAAACTAGATTCTTGCAGGCTAGGTCGTTTTTTGGTCACGTGGACCGGACGCAAAGTCTGATTTACACTTTGGTTCTGATTATTTTGCAAATACGGCGTGGATATACTGTTCCTGTGTGTGCTGACCACAAACGAATTATTTTGCGGGTGTGTGTTGTGAATGTGTCCTAAGTTTAAACTGGGCTTTCTATTGTGCTGCTGCGGATTGCAGTACCTTCTATTATTGTATCCATAATTATGTTGCCATCTGAAATTAATTCACACGAATTGTATTTTACTTTCTACTTAAATATAAAACTCAAATTAATCGCGGTTTCCTCTACTTACTTTGGAGTTGGTCGCGGATTTCCGAGTCTGCTTCGCCATTGTTGTACTTTCTCCTTTTGGTTCGGAGTAAAACAGTCGTGTTGAAGTACTTTTTCTAATACGTTAATGCAGGCGCATAACATGCCGTCATCCACGCTGTCTAACGCCAATCGACTGCACACTATGAAATATTCAAGCCATATAAGCTTTGTCAAACGTAGTATTAGGTATTACACATATCAAGAAGAATGCGAGACTCACGTTTGCCGAGGACTTTGGTGAATTGTGCGGGTATGTCCTGGGGATCATTTTCTTGGCTCGGTTTCATTGGTGTTGCTAAGATGGTCTTTAGTTCATCGATAGTATTGACCAATACTGTTGGTCCTTGTAAAAATGAAGCGGACTGTGTGGTGTCCCGTGTCGGTTGTAACAAGTCTTTTTCTAAATTTAACAGTATCGTATAACGCTGCTGTAGTTTCGCGATAGACAGGGCTAATTTGTGCCTGGCCCCTTTCGTCACGCCCTGCTCTGCTAATTGTTCCTCGGTCAGTTGCAGCATGTCTTCGTAACTTAGCGTAACAAATAGATAGCTATATTTATGAAGGCGCAATGTCTTAAGCCATGACGGGACGTCTGCAAAAGATAAAATGCATTATCTCGACTTTCTGTAATATTCAATTCATATTGTTGATAATCGATAAAATGCGCACCTCGCATGCCACTAGCAAGTGATCGATTAGATGCCTCATCCAAACGGCCTTCGCTACCACTACTTGCACAAGAGCTCTGAGGGCTCAACGGGCCTAATCCAATAAGATTGCCTATTCAGAGATCAACGATTATTCATAATAAAATAAAGATAATCCTATCGCAATTTCAAGCGAAACTAACTTTGATCTCCAGACATGCTGAAACTTCGTGGCTTATGTTTAGTTGTACAGTTTACATTATTACTGCGATCGACTACTTCTAAATGATGAGGTGGTGCGACTGGCGGTGTCAGACTGTTTGATCGGCGTTGGCGAGTTACGGATGGTGGAAATTGCAAATTGAAGGCAGTTCCTGGTTGGGTGCCGAACAAACTCGTTTGTTCGTTTTGCTGTTTAGAATTTCGCTGCCAAGCATTATCCCACCTGCAATCAAACGAATACAATGACATGCTTGCGAACATCCTTTGCACGCATTTCTAACTCACCTGATGGTGGTGTTGGTATACTCCTCGAGACTGTGTATAGGTGGCGTACCGCTAATACGTTCTTCGAGATGTCTAAGCCACTGAGTCAAAGAACGTCTATCTTGACTAGTTATAGCTGGATGGATCAAACAATAACTTAGAAGTTGTTGAGTTTGTTCTGTGTACTGCCCCGTCGTTACACAGTGGCTCACTAATTCTGGTATTGCCACTAGGTAACATTGTTTACACTCTATGTTCCCAGGCCTCAAGAGTGGCAAGTGAGTGAGAAGTTGATTTATAGCAACTTCTGTTGATTCCGAGAGCAGTGAGTTGATAAATGCTGTAACAATATTCTTAATGAATATACTTCGTACAGCCAGAAATTGCGTTTGTGTGAATAAACGTAACTTGCCTGGATTATTGGCATTTAATTCCTGTGTGTCCAACTCTGAGACAGAGTGCAGGGAGTGCTGTACCGCTTGTGCAAGGAATCTTGCTTGAACTGCAGGAATGCGACGAAGTAGTGCATATAAAACCACAGTTTGTTCACATTCGTTCCATTGCGAGAATACTCGCGTAAGTTCGCCAACTTGTTCGCAGAACAAAGCACCTGGCGACCACTTCATTTTCGACAGTGCTTCGATGCTGAGCAGCAAATATTGCAAGCTCAAATTTCTTCTTGATTATATACCGATTATAATCTGATTGTATTCCAGTCACGTTCACACAGAAAAAGGCATACAGTCTATGATAAGTAAATAATATTTATGGCCTATCTATATTTATCAAATATAATAAATATAACTTTTATTGTTAACGTATATTTATTTGCGATTTAAATACAATACGTATACAGGTTTGAATTCGGAAATTCGTGAGAATATCAGAATTAAATTGGATCCATACGTGCAATATTTTATATACGATGCTTAACATAAATTAACATCAACTTTCTAGAAGAGTGAAAGCGATATCCAATATCGAACATTATCTTTTCTTCAAAATTGTCACAGCGTTACGTACTTGAACTACATATATCATATATTGGAATAAGAAAAGACTCATCTCTTTCTAATCGAAGTTAATTTTTCTTATTTAAACGATTATCGTTCCCATCGAAAATAAAACGATGGTAATACCGAATAGTTAAATTTTTTCTTCTCTACGCGTATAACGAACTTTGATGCCCGACATAACCACAAAATATCTGTGTACACTGCATCGGCATGTAGATACATCGATAAGAATTCCGCTGAGGTCAAGTTTGTTTACCCCGCGATGCGTGTGTATTTATAGCTTTCCTGTTACAATCCATTCGGCGGTGCAATGGCACCGTGTGTGAGACATATCCCTAACGGCGATTGATAGGATAGGTCCTTTTCACAGACAAAAATAACGCGACGGAACACGAAAGTTCAGGGACCGAATAATGAAGAACAACGAAATTTTGAACATTTCCCAGAAGGATCTTTGCTTGTGTCTCTAAGAAATGGTCTCGAGTCGCGTTCGTCGGTGCCGCCGCGTACCTCTGTGTGCGTGGGACACAGTAGAGGGGAAAGGACGAAGAACGAAGAGAGAAAAACAAGAGAATAGAGGAAAACTCTAATATATTATGTATATCAATCACTGTCCGTAAAAAGGCATACTCGAAATTGGATATCTGAATGATCGATAAGCAACGGAAGTGGATATTTTACGAATGTAACGAGTATATTGCTACTGTGCGACTAGCACTCGGCCATTGAGCCGAACAGCAAACAACAAATTCTATGCTGAAATCGGTGAACGCATTACTGCTGTTTAATATAGGTATAGATATCGTTATAATTACCGTGTGCAAGGCTGGAGGTGGCTGCTCCACAGGATCGTTCTGCCTCTTGGAAAATAACAACAATACACGATTATAGCATTTTATACAACGTCGACTTAAACGAAACATCTATCCACCATGCGGTATGGTGGGCTTACGTGACCACACTGGTTCGTTGTAGCGACTCGTTGCAGAACAGAACCTCCTCCATTGGCCCTCGCTAGAATGGTAACCGCCAATCATGTGATGGTCTGGGGCGCGGTTCATTTGTGTCTCAAATATGTCGATCATCTTTTACAGTTCGAGACGTATTCGAAATTCGAATGAATTCCGGCTATTTGCTTCTTCGTTTGCTACTTATTCACACTTTCCATTATTTGATACAACTTGGATATGGTTTTCATTACTCGGTTTGTAGATAGTTGATTTGGAAAGTATTTACCAATTGCAAGCCAATTACTAATTCGTTAACAAACAATACGTTTTACGACTTGACACCACCAAATATTTGTGACGCATTTATTCACTCGTTCATCAACAAGCCTGTGTAAATTGCATTTTACCACTAGAGTTAAACAATAAAAGGATGTTATACACATGGTAATAGACATACTCGTTTATTTCATTCACTTTATATACCCAATATCATTCATTTCTTTTACAGATAAATTCTATAGTATTTAGAACTAACTAGTGAGATAGACTTAGCATGTATATGTCGAAATGGAAAGTAACTTGAAAAATAAAATAACAAAAACAATACATTTGTCGTTTACAAAAATATGAAATACTAAATGTAGATCTTTATACACTCGTAGAAGTTTTTGAAGTTAACCCAAAAACATTGCGAAAGAAAACTGTAGATTTCACAATTGACTATAAGATTCTTATTCTATCCAGCGCTACGTGTAAGATATTAAAATATATTGTCTCCCATTCCGTCACTCTCCGTAACTAATGCACGCTCCAGTATGACTCGTCCCTCCTTGTATCGTTGATTATCATCTGTTGCAAATTCATACACCCACCCAAGCTTAGCATCACAGTTTTTGCAGCTGACGTCTCGGACCATGTGACGACCCGTCAACATCACTCTATCCTGTACCTCACTGCGTATCATTGTAGACAAATTAAATTATTGAATGGGCAAAGATCGTATAAGATTATTCCATTAGTACAATTTCTCTGAGTTTTCGTACATTTACGAACGGTACCCTGTGTGCTGAACAACGTTAAAACGAAATATGCATAAATACGAAAACAGAAAATAAGTAATAGAATTGCAGATAGTTTAAACTTCATATGAATCTTTTTATAGTCTAAATCGCTCTTAATAAATCTGAAAGTATGTTAACGTTGGTATGTAAATAATAAAACGACATATAGCAGTCTTATATTTAACTTTCTTCTCACATCTATTTATGCACATATCTTTTTTTTCATCTGACAAATAAGTTAGCTATCTTTTTCTTTAGATAAACAAAGGCATAATAGTGTTTCATTATTTCCAATTACATCGATTTTGAAAAACTATTTTTTGTATAAATCTTAGAAACGCCAACGAATCGTGTAGATTAATAAAATTAACGCGAAATTAGGGAACAAAGAAAGAACGCGAATACCTGTAATTCAAGTTGACGACTTTGTTAAAGAGAAAAGCACGGCCTGTGGCACCCGTGAAACGCGTGCTTATCAGCTGACCTCTGTTTGTGAGATTCGTGTCACAGGATGCGCAAGAGAATAAGCGGGTGCCTCCGATGTGTTCCAAAAATATTACGCCCATTCTTAATATCGCGAATCCAACTTCTGGATTCCTGCTGAGAAATCAGACAAGGACGATCTCGTAAATGAAAACAATCTGGACTTCGTTTCCGAACCAGTAAGTCACGTAGCTTGATGTACCTGTCACATACAACGCGATACGTACACCTACACAACGGCATACAAGCGCCAAGCGCTTGAATTCATCGAGCAGCTTCAACACATCCCGTGTGGACAATGGTGTACGATAACGATACTACTAAACGCCATCTACGAAGAGAAGTGTTGTCAAACGTAAACGTTCCTTCGATTCTGTCTTTTCCTCTCCTCTTCATATGATAAACTACTATTTAAGTAAGTACCAAAATATGAATTGAAAAGTGAAAAATGTATGTATGTATATTATCTACCATCCTTCACCAAGGAGAGGTTACTAATGGTTACTAAACAGTGGCAGCCTTATGGGATTTCGTGTCGCACCGTCGCACGTCGCACGAGTCTGAAATTGTTGACGCCCTCTAGAACATATTGCCACCGAAATAAGAAATAGAAAGCGAAACACTTGTCGGTGCTGAACCGACCATATAATGCTACATATTCCCTTCATTATTACTTAGTCATTATACTGATAGGTGGCTAGCATCTCCTATATCTGTAAAGCGGTTAGTTTCAAATAGAAAAAACATATTTGGATAACTTCTAAATGTTTATAATTGTACCCTCTTAATAAGCCCCTTCTTGTACCCTCTTTTTTCTTATGCTAATTTCTTTAAACTCCACTTTCGAATAAGCAAGATTTCTAAAGAATACATTATTGGATCAGATGATCTTGCATATGTGTATTCGCTTTGAAATAGATTATGTAAACAATTAATTGGACTATTTCAATTGTTTGTGCATAAAGCGAGACGTAATGATCTATCAAGTATATATTTCAACGAATAGACAAGATTTGAATTGAGAATTATTTCTGGGTGTTCAACGATCGCAAACATATAAGCATTGTTGTAAGTTTCGTCTTCTCTCAACAATGAATACTATTTCTAGAAATGTGTCGATACGTCTGCGACATTTAATGGCACTTACAATGAATCCGATATTTCCAAGAGGTTCGTATTTAATCGATAGTTTATGATACACATATGTATTTTCTTCAAATCATTTTTTAAACTGGTTTAACTTGAACATTACATCGATATGAGGTTAGTTGGTTTATAAATAGACTTCACAATTACGTTAACTTTCATACATTTGAAAGAGGCATTGACACGATGGCATATTTTATTTCATTGTCATCTATTGCAATAATCGCATTTTCGATTACAACACTCCATTATGCTCTTATTCTTTATCATACGATAATGATTTTATAAATATCGTAATTATCTAATTATAACTTAGAACTAATGTCCAAAAATTACTGCAAGTCATGTATGTTGTATATTACTTAACTTTACCATTTGCAACAGTATCCTAATTGCTTGAAATTAACGGATCTATATATTTTATTTATGCATGTTCCATTACAATTATACCTTTATCTTTTAGATACATATTAAGTTTTTATAACTCGATGAAATAAATAATAATTGCAAATTTCCTAATAATAAATTATTCCCAATATATCCTATCAGAATTTGAAATATTGCAATTTATTGAAAAAAGTTCGCAAGATCATTTTATACGATACTTTGTTTTTTAAAATTAACTATATTCTATTTCTATACAGATCCTAAATTAGATCGGTTTATTCAAATCTCACAATCAATTGGAATGAATTGTCAGATAATTGAATAAAGCATGCACTGGACACAATTATTTCTGTGCATTTTGTATTCACGGTTAAAAATAGATTACTTATATCCAAATAGTTGATTATCGTAGTATCACCTAATTTTCCATAACTACAAGTCACGTGTTTCTACGAAAAACGGAATTATCAAATATTCTGGATATAGAAGCTGATTGGTTGACTCAAGGTCACGAAATCTGATCGTCCATGCTTCAATTCAAAGGAACAAGAGCAGAGCACCAGTGCCGCTTCTGTACTCTTCGTGGATAGGCAGTCGCATAAATTTGTGCGAGGGAAAGCGCGGCAATCAGGCCGCGTTGTTTTCCTTTCTGTTAAAATAGTGTGTTCCTGTTATCGCGAATTTTCTTACATTATTTTTAAGGCCCAATCAGAAGAATGACCGTCGAGATCGATAAAGAGGAGCTGAAAAAGCGTTTGACGCCGTTACAGTGGCACGTCACACAAGAAAAGGGCACAGAGAGGTAAGCGTGTCACCGGAATTTAATTAATTTGCTACACACGTGTATTATGTTCGCTGATGCCATAAGTTATTCAAATATTGTCTATTTATCGATTCTGTTCGTCATAAGGTTTCGATGAATCTCTTGTTACGATTACGAATGATTTCACGCGTACATAAACAATGTTTTGCAATTCTGGTTTCTGCTTTGCAAAACAAATAATAATTGTGTATGAACATTAAAAGAAATAGTATTAAACCAGTTGTTGGTTTGCTTCAATCTTTGTAAATCTCAGTATGTTTTATTCCGAGTATTGTTATTGAATATTTCTTTTTTATACAATTGTTTAAACAACAATGTTGTATTCTGTGATGGAATTTGAGAAACGATGAAAAGAAGTGACGATATTAACGATGATACAGTTTTCCAAAAATATTGGTGAAAACTGGCTTACTTTTAGGCAACGTGTGACTAAAATAACTTTTTCAAGAGCATGTGCTGGCTTGACTTTGCGTCATGACCGAGTGGTTTAAAAATAAATGATAGGCCCTCATAATTAACTTCCTACTACTTATAAGTTGTCTCGTCGTGCCTCTATAATCTTCTTTGTGCAGGCCCTTTTCTGGTTGCTACAACAAATTCTATGAGAAAGGCACGTACACTTGCGTAATTTGTGATCAAGAACTATTTTCCTCTGACACAAAATATGATAGTGGTTGTGGTTGGCCTGCATTCAATGAAGTATTGGATCAGGGTCGAGTCAAGTTAACCAAAGATACTTCACACGGTAAGCTATTTGTAATGCTTAGAATTTTTCTTATATCTTTTTCTTTAGAATTATGCTCGGATTCTTAGTACTATAACATACATATAATATTCATCACGGCATATCATTTTACATTAATTTCAAGTATTCGCTTGAATGGTACATAGATAAACTCTTTTTAGCAAGCGATATTCTGTAATATCATGTGACTAGTCGAGTTTTATCTAGTTATCATTCTTATGTACTCTTCATTTTATCTTCTTACATTCACTTTATCACAAAACCTTTCCCAATCTTTAGTTCTGCTTCTACTCAAGCCTTCCACAATTTTCTACATGATTTTGTTTAGTCATCGTTATCTTCCTATAAATGGCACAGATACATAAGTTAAGTTCAATCAGCTAAATTTATTTGTACAGTTTTTTCTTTTACTGTTTTCTGCATGGAAATTTGATCAGTGTTATGGAATTTCAACTATTAATATGTAATAATCTGATGAATAAAAATAAATTGTTTGCACAGTCATAATTCTATTGTTACTTGTACAATTTATTCAAATTCAAATTCTGATATGGAAGGCAAATATTCCTTGAAAATCCTCTACCTCTGCATGTTAATGCTTAGAGTGTGATTTGTGTTAGACTTACATCATCTACTGTACCAAACCAAAAGCATAGTTGTACAATATAAAAGCCAATCTTTTTGTATTTTGTTTCTATGTATGATGAAACAACAATTAATATTCAATAGTTTTTAACACATAGTTTCGCTTTATACTTTATACAATATTTTAATTCAACTGTTAAAATAATATCTTTGAAGCTTGAGTTATAACATAATAGTTATTTAACTATACTTCTTCTAAATACTTTATTTATTTAAATTAATTTCTTTTAATATTAGTATATAGGTGACTAAAAATATAAACCAATAAATAACACTCAGCGATTATAGTTCAGTGATGCTGCATACCATTTAAGAATATGCACAAAAGTAGGATCTTCTCTATGTTAATTGAAGTACATCAATTAAACCTTTTAAGTAGCATAAAAGTATCTAAAGTGACAAATATTGGTCAAGTTTATTTTAATACATTTTTCAATTCTATCATACGATATGGAATATGGAGGAAGCTACTATGGATGAGAGTAAAGCAAGGAACAAAATTATGGGTATCAGTTAGAATGAGTAGATGATTAACAACTTAAATCGGATAAACGTATTCTTAATTTTGAAAGTTAATTCGATCGAAAGATATTTAGAGTGCATCAGGAAAGGTGTTGGTCTGCGTTTAATCACACTCTATTTATTCTATTTCCTTTGTCTTCCCTATTGCTCCGCTACCACCACTTCACTCTCACCATTGACACACGAAAACTGCGTCGACAATTGACGTACAGTTGGTGGAAATCTACTACTGCTGATCGCAAACCCAGATATGGTGCGGACCGAGGTGACCTGTTCGAAGTGCGGCGCGCATCTGGGACATGTGTTCAACGACGGACCGAAGCCCACCAGGAAACGGTTTTGCATCAACTCCGCGTCCATAAACTTCCATTCAGCGGGAGAAGAGAAGAAATCGACGTCGTAAGACCAATAAAGAACGATTCATTTAAAAAAAAAATACGTTTAAGGATGCTTGACAAATCTAACTTGTATGAAACTTCTAATTCTGAGATGGGCACGCGCAACGCATACGATTATATATGTTTTATATTCAAATTACATTTTGCTATTGCCCTATTTTTTCGTTAGACACTAGAGATTTTGTAAGATTTTACAATGAATGAATACTTTTTGCGTAAAATACTGTGTACATCTATCTCCATTCTATATAAAACGAAGTGCAAGTTTTTTATTTCCATACGTTAATTAAGGCGCGTAGATCGTTTTATGAGAGGTATGTATATGTACATGTGCAGTGATGAACCGCGTACGATATTGTAATGTTAAGATAAATTCGATTCCTTGTACATACATGCTAAATGAATGTAAAATAAATACATTTAGTATGTGTAAAATACATAAGTAAATTAATGTAAAATGTTCAAAAAGATAATTTATGGAAACGTTCTGTTATTTCTTCATGTTACATACGATGAACATAATGTAATGTAAACGACAGCCACTATTTATTTGTCTCAATATACTAAATTATATAAAAAGTTCAATATTTTATTGTTAATTATTTATATGGTACAACCCTTCAAGGAAAGATACTTTCATTTCGCGTGTGATCAGAACGGAAGAAAGGATCTATCTGGAAGAAGAATGTTTGTTTTTTTTTTGTTATAAAATGTTTTCTTATATTGTAACGTTTCAAAACAAACTAAAAGGTGTTACAGTACAATATATACGCAAATTCTAGGCGTTATTTTTACAATAATTCATCATCCGCTTAGTGCTTTCTTTCATGTTTTTTTTTTCACTTTTTAAATTCGTCTGTTTAAATGTTGTATTAGAGCTTTCCTGAGAAACCAGATTTTTCTATCAAATGCTTTTCTCGGACAATAAAAATTGCCAATTTCATAAAAAAGGAAGGTACATGTAGTTAAAAAGAGATAGGAATTCCTTTTTATTGGCTTCGTCGCTAGGCCTGATTCGTTTTGTAATTGAGATCTCAAAGCATTTTCAAAAACATCATAAAAAAGGTTGTTGAAAACATGCGTATACATACTTAAATCTGATGTGTGTATAGGAACCTATTTCGTAGTTCTAAACTGACAATAATACGTTTCTTACAAGGATACGTAAATGCACTTGGAACAATGATCGAAATGCGGATGCAAAAATGATTGAACTTGTCCATACCTGTCCTAAAACTTGTCAGTCGTGATTCTGTCCTTCAACATTGGAAACAACGATTGTTACAATTTTCTGAATAATACTAAACCTTTTATTGCAGTAAGGTATATTAATACAACTTTTGTACTTTTTGCTTATTAAATAAATAAATAAATAAAATGTCGATAGAAGTTCTCTACGATTATTAGTAAAAATACGGACAAATGGATTTTGCATCCGACTTCGATTGAATAAAAAATAAATCTTATAGATAGCTGCTTGTAGCTGAAATACGCTTAATAACTGCCGCTGTAATATAATACAATGACAATAAAAATGGACGTTAATTTTTCCTTCTTTTTTTTTTCTGCTAAAGATATTTGTGAAAATGCAGGATCTCGTTCAGTGTCACACCTGATCGAGATAACGTAAAATTTTGACCCTGAATCGTATATTCTTTTCTTCACATCATGTGTTTGTTAATACTATACGTGCACAATTATTTTCTTTCCTCCCGTCACTGCTTACGAGCCCCGAATAATTTGGAATTGGTGTCGAAATGAAATGACATGAAAAGCTGTTTTTCACAGAATACAGAGGCAAGTTTTATAAATAATGTTTCACAGATTTTATCTATCTCGGCACACAATTCCAAATTTCGTCGCAAGCTTGACAGAACCTGAGCTGCTTCGTCTGTCAAGTATAATTAGACATTATCGATTATTTTAAAAAACTAATCAGGCTCATTTTTACGAAAACAAACTCACGTAAATGTATACATTATTACTATTAGACGATTGTTCATTACCAAATAATGTATGCTTCTTTTCTCAATATTTTTTCCTCGGTTTCAATACGTAATATATCTTTCAATACCTATTTCATAGTTTTACGTGGCGTTTCTTTAGCAGTTAATTTTACGATAAACTCCTATATTATAATGAAGATGATTGAGAATAAAAATAACAAATCGACAAGTTTTTAAACTAAAAGTAGTGTCCAAGGTTTCGATCTTTTTTCTCGATAAATGTATATGTTTAAGATATAATACAATTAGGAAAGACGTTAATTATTACGTTTAATGTAGTACAACCATAGTAGAAACCTCGTGTGAACGTAAAACTTGTAAAACTCTGATTCGTATGGGTTGGCTGCGTTCGAATAAATTATATTTATACTTATTCTCGTTTGATGATTCAAGATCGTAAGGAATCTAGCGCGAGTTTTTTCACGTCTCTAAACATGATAAGACAGGCACTTTATAGTGTCACAAGAATGTTCCTATATCTGAACCTTGTTTTAAAATTTCGTCGATCATCCGTTCACATTATTAGTATTTTCTTTGTTTCGTTAAGACACGTTAAAGACGACATTGTGTTTGACCTCGAAGAACACACGTATAACTGGACGTTAGTTTCCGTCCATTAGAAAGATGTTCTTACAACTAACGTATTTTTATATTAGTGAGAAGGTCAACGGCTTATCCCAACGTGTCTCGTTCGTTCTAACGCGATGCAAATGAGAAAAAGTACTTATATGTTTTATCTTACAATTACAAATGAATAGCGTTTAAATAATAATCGCATGGTATCGCAATATATAAATTGATCATAAAACTTCGCTCTATCATACGAAATCAAATATTTCATTTTCTTTCCGTACTATATACATATATATGCGTAACGTAATGCAAAAATTGCAGATGTCCAAGTATTTAAAAAATCTATTAAAAACTTTAATTCAATATATTTATATATGTATATAACATAAAAAAGTCTACCAACATTCAATGACAAGAACGTGATTCGTGAGAACGTTTAAAACAAGTTAGGCTATCGCTTACACATCTACGTCGTACTGACAGACCAAAGACATGAAAACATATTGCTCTGCTCTTTCATAACTTCGTTTCAAAAAATATAAGTCTGACACGAAGACCAATTTTTTTCTTGTTTATCTTCTTCTACGATTTTCTTGTTAAACCATAATAATATATTAGAATAGGTCCTATGTACTTGTTCACATTTGTTTACGGTATTATCTAATAAGGTTTCTCGCTATAAATGTGTGTGTGTTTGTAGCTAACTCCAATCTTCGATTTCTTTTGTTAGAGTCAGTAATACTAGTGTGTTTCTTTTTTATATCTTTAGAAAATAACTGACAGTCGCTTGAGAATCCTCGATGACAGTCCGCTCATTAGCGCGAGAGTACTTCAGGCAACGACCCACGTATTCGCACAAGTACATTCTTTTATATCGAAGACTATTTAAATAAAATGGTGGTACCCTTCGCGGCTAATGAAAACCCATCGAGGAATACAAGACTATCTGCCGTCAGATCGTTCACAGTTCGTCTGATTTATCTTTTTTTATTTCTCCTCGCAACATGCGAGAATCGAGCAATTTAAAAACTTTGAAACCATTTCACGATACCCTTCAACGTATCGGATAAGTTCTATCTATCTATGACCTATATATATTTATTTATTTATTTATATATTTATATATTTATATATATGTTTATTTATTATATATTATTGAATTATTGTGCCGTTCCATTTTGGGAGGGTGATTCATTATTTTCTTGCAAAATTATATCGCCGCGATCATTACGCGTGACCACGAATATCGCTCTTCTAATTACCTTTAGCAGCCTCCTTTGCCGCCATTATTAAGGGTGTTAAGGAAGCAAGTGGCCTTGCTAGTTTCAGAAAAGGATGCTGCAATCCCGTAGAAAAATGCCAAGTTTTATTAAGATTTATTTTACGTACGACTCTAAATCTGACATGTATAATATATATATCGTATTCTTGAAGAATTACCTTGAGTAATTCTGAAGCCGCAGATCGTTTCTCCACTTCGACTTCTAAACACTGATCTAAGAAGTCTTGAAAGATCCCCGACAACTTATCCTTTTCTTTAATCTCAGGCTTCCCGTTTGTTGCAATCAGATACAGTGCTCTCAATGGATTCTCGTTTAAATACGGTGGTTCTCCCTCGATCATTTCGATAGCCATTATACCCAAAGACCAGATGTCGACCTGAAAATTCAAATTATTTTTTATTAACGACTGGTCAAGTTATTTTTTTATCGTAGAAATTCAGAAGTTCACCTTTGGACCGTACTGTTTCCTTGTAACTACTTCCGGCGCCATCCAATACGGCGTACCGACCATCGTGGTTCGTTTGCTCTGCTCAGGTGAGATTTGTGCACAAAAACCAAAATCTGTCAGCTTGACCCCACCGTCCAGCCCGAGCAGGATATTATCAGACTTAATATCCCTGTGTATAACTTGATTACAATGCAGGAACTCCAACGCTTGCAGTACTTCTCTACACACCGCCGCTATTTGGCCCTCGTCCATACAAGTTTCGGTTACAACGTCCGTCAAACTACCACCAGGTAAATATTCCATAACCACCCACAACTCTTCCCCCACGAGGTAACTGTCCAGGTAATTTACAACGTTCGGATGTTTGTTCTCCCGCATTACCAGTATTTCATTAATTATTAACTCCTTCTTTGGTTGCTGCGAAAGGTTCATCTGTTTTATTGCAACTTCCATTCCCGTTGACGTCTCGATCGCCGTGTACACTGTTCCCGAAGCACTGAAAGGAAAGAACAAGAACCGTGAAACAATTTCCACGATTCAGTGAATCTTAAAACAACTCACCCTTGTCCTATTTTCTCCATTTTTGTATATTTTCTATTTGGATCGCCCACGCTTACAATCGTTCTTAACTTCTCTAAGATCTCGTCGTCCGACATTTTTTTCTTCCTCGCTTTATCACCTTGCGCCGGTCTCGTCTGATCAGTCGTGGTCGACGTGGTCGTCGCTTGATTCTTATTTCTATCCAACTGCGATTGATGCGATTGTTGAGGTGTACCATTTCTCTGAGGCGATCCTAACGTGGTGGTTAACGGTGGCGGTGGTTCTTCTTCTATTGGCTTTGTATACTATTCGGAAATTTTCGTCCTTACTATTCATATTCATGTACGAATAAGAAGTAACTCGCGAACAATCATTTTACTTACAATCGATTTCGTACGTTCGGGTCGCGCGGAGATCGGTGGAGGCGGAGGTTCATCCTCCTGTTCGGAACTGGTCGCGCATGCATCCGTGGGTGTACTGCTCGGACTACTGCTGCTTACTCTGTAATTTTATTGTTTCTCAGTGGATATTTAAAGATAGATTAATTAGGTATAGACATAGAAATGCAAAAAGCTCACCTGCTGAGCGAATGTTGCGAATGAGAACTTCCGGAAGCTTGGGACATCGCTTGACCGCGGATGTTTCCCACTCCCGTTCCAATACCTATACCCATGCTTCTAGGACTGCTTGCTCTTTCAATCGGAGCTAAACATACGGTTTTATCTATTTGATTCCCTAACGTACATACGATTAGTAACAATATGAATGACAATATAAATTCGTGTTTGCAAAAGTATTGTTCACTTACCAACTACTCCGACCATCTTCGTAGTGGTCATATATTTGGAACCTTTCGTTTCTTTACTGCTACTGTCATACCAATTTAAAACGTCTAACACAGCTTGTGGATTTTTCTTCTGCTCTTGTTTACTAATATTACTGGTCATTAGCAATCTCGCCCATGCTTCCGGCATCCCCTAAGATCAAGTTATGTTTCAGAGGTATTGTTAATTAATCCCTTATAGGGAAATTGAAAATAACTGATACGGGATTGTTTGCAAATGTGTACGATTCTCACAGTTTCAGAAACTAAGAGAATAGATCGTGCAAATATAAAATATTTGACAATCGAATGGTTTTAGAGAAACGGTAAGATCTTAAGCGATCAAACCAATGGTAAATTTTATTCTGCAAGAAAGCAATGTAATATATCAAATGCAACGTTGACTAAAGCGTCTATTAGACTACCAAAGCATATCTACATCTCTAATCTATGTTAAGTACGAAAATTTTTAATTGATATAAAAGAATTGATAACTTCATCCTGTTGATTGCAACAAAAACAAACAGTCAAATCAAGTGTAGTAAGAAGTACAAACTATTCTTTTTGTGATTCACTTGAGATTACTTACTGTTATTGGCAGCTTGAAAGAAATACGTGTCTAGTTAGTTCTTCATGTGAAAAAATAATAGATATAAGAAGCATCAGACAAATTACCAAATTACTTTTCCACAATGTCCATACACATGTGAACAAGTGATGAAAATTTAATTTCATTTAGGTACGAAAAATCCATCAGAGAATCAGAATTCTCTTCTTTATAACAAAAACACAGTTAATGTTAACGTCAAATGATACATCGCTAGTCGTTTTTTATATGTATGTTTGGATACTCCGTACCATTGTATAATAGCAAAGCAGAAAGCGAGTGCACTTTGAACGATAGTAACAGATTATAATAAATCAAATTGACTTACCGTGAATTCACCGGTAACAGCATCGAATCCGACATGTACGGTGTGTTCAAAATTGGTGGGGTAACTGATGTTGGGTTTATCCTTGTTCTCTTTTACCTTCATTTTACTCTTAAGTGTCTTTTTCTTTCGTTCATCGGAATCAGGTTCTTTAGGTAGTGGACGCATGTCCACTGGTAAATTAGGTGCTGATTCACCTCTGGAATACATATCATACATCAGTATTGTCAATGATTATTAATGCGTAAAAATAATTTTAGCCGATTGTAGATTGATTAATATATTCTGGAACTTGGTTTAACATGATTTATTAATTGTACTGACTAATACATAATTGAGAAAAATAAAAATATATTCATATTTTGTCAGAAATAATTTATATAAAGAAAATAAAAGCGGACACATGCATGGAACATATTCATAAGGTATGCTAGTGTATATACACAGAGGAACTTAAAAGGATGGTCTCCCACATGAGAATGTCATTGCGTCTGAACTGTAGGATTTTATTTTTAGCAGCCACTAGATTAGTGTCTGTTCCTCTATTTTTGGGAGATGCAGACTTCTACTTATTGCAAAGGAAATAATAAGGATACAAAGTGTAACAAACTCATTAATTTTTAGTGTCACACGGAACATAATAGAAAAGCATTGTAATGTTAGATAATGTGGTACAGGATAGAAACAAATGTTACAGACAAAGCTCGATCGCTAGATGGTTAATTTTTTCCATTGAATTTTGTTAGATTCAAAATACCTGTTCGATGTAAGTCGCACAGGAGGTGCAGGGGGTTTGTCTTCTTCATCTGACATGTTGTTTCTGCTCTTTGTTCTTTGTTGCCAATCTACTTTGCGTCGTTGCGTCTCAATAGTTTTGTCTTATCCTCTAATACTATAATCTTCTGCCTCGCGTGTCTTAGTTTTTCTTAATGTTGTACAAATCTTAAAAGACTAAGGGCTTGAATCACAGTTGCACAGAGAATCCTTTACGTAGATCAAACCACCGAGACGTGTGATTTCGAGATCCATTCACTATTCTTGTCAGAGAGAAAAAAAAGAAAAAAAAAAGACAAATTGCTCGTTCGAACTCAACGAACGTAGTTGAAATGTTTGAAATCTATCGGCTGTGTATCACGAGCACAGACGTACGGACTCTCGACGACCGGTTGAGAACATGGAACGAAACGGGGAGCAAAAATGCCCCTCCTCGTGGGTTGACAGTTTCGAAGAGCTGCTCGCGAAACGTCTCGTTCGACGCCGAGTAAGTTGCGGCGACCTCGAACGGGTCAATGTCGTGGGTATGGGGTGTACTCGAAGACGAGGGATAGACAGGCGCCTCGAAAGCGTGCGTGATTCACGTACGGGTACAGACACCGCGCCGCATCCACGAATCTCTAGTTCTTTCTCTATTCCTCTCTCTCCCACTCACTCGCTCGTTCTCTTTCTCTCACCCCTTTTCACCGTTTCGTTCTCCGTCTGGATCCTCCTTCGGTGCTGTCGCCTCGGTCCCCCGTTCACGGCTTTCGTTTTGTCGCTCCACCCGTTTTTCTCGCCGTTCGAAATGAGAGCGAAAAGAAAAAATACGGTTCGTGTATCGTGTATATATGGCGCCGCTTTATCCACACGTCCGTGATGTGCCGCGTTTTGGGCACGGCGGAGGCGGAACCACGCGGCGCTCTAAGTCTTATCAATGGCACCTCATTTCGTACATGTATAATCGACACCCGACGTCGACGAATTCTGTTTCCCTCGGCCGCCCCGTATTTATCCACGACCGTTGTTTCGAGGAATAGATAAGAAAGTCTGAATCACCACCGCCGCCGCCGCGGTCCTCTGCCACTGAACAGCGCCTCCAGTGGAACACCGTTCACTCCCTCTCTCTCTCCTTTATCTTTCTCCTTCTCTTTCCGTTTCCCTTCGACGATTTTTCGCTCGCTTCGCCACTTCACCTTTCCATTCCCCGTTCAATTCTATCTTATCGCTCGTATACTTACGAGGTTTGATCATTAGCTTACATGTATGCATTTATTTTCTCACCTACACCTATTGTCAATCAACACCACCGATCGACATGTGTGCGTGTGCATACATATGATTTGAAAAAATGTTCCGAATGATGTGGGTGGGTTGAAGTTGAAGTTGGAACTCTGGTAAGACTGCGAGTGAATCAATCGCAGGTCAGCCAACATGAAACTCGACGAGACGAGGACACGGTGTTGTCGGAGTTTCTGTTTAGCGATTTAATTTTCGAAAAATGCAATTAAAAGAATAAGATATGCATGAAGAAGCAATAAACAATCCATTTACCTAAAATAGAGATGAACGTTTGTCAAGAGAAGGCATGTATTCTGCCTTATCTCTGACTTCAATATAAATGGTAGTTACGAATTACGACAGAGTTAGGACAACAGCAATTTTCTCTGCATATATACATATTATAATTTCTGTACTGATTAAGCAAATAAGTTCAATACTAAAGTTATTGTTATTGAAATACCATACTTCATCGTTTAAACCTGATAACATGCTTGAAGTTATTTCACACGAAAGCGTGATCTTACAGGTCTATTGAAGATCGTGCACCAAAGTATTGTGGGTAATCGTAATTCTGGTATATCACAAGACTGTTTACTATCAGGGAAATCATTATTTTTGCTCGGAACGACCAACGTTTTCTTTAATGTGAATTACGTTTGATATTATTTATTAGTTTGTAGAAAGATTATGCATTTTCCGAGTATATGAAGTTCTATTGTGTTTATGAATCATCAAATGCTGCGGAATAACCACGATACGAAATTTGACATTTGACTACGTATTTGACGCGCGTCCACAGTGCACGATATATTATTATCTTTTTAAACATAGTGGAAGCCGTCTGATTGTATAACTCTAGCAAAGCGTTCAATGATTTGTAACGATTAATCACTCGCTTGTTACGAAGAAAACATTGTTTAGATCATTTTCTATTGTTTTAATACTACCTAATTCAAGATGAAGAAAAAGGTATGAACATTTTTTATAGATCCTTTTATGTCTTATGTATGTTATACAGCCATACAAATGTTATATCTGATAAATGTATCGTATCTTTTAGGTGCTACTGATGGGTAAAAGTGGCTCTGGGAAGACCAGTATGCGCAGCATAATTTTTGCAAATTATATTGCTCGTGATACTCGTCGTTTGGGAGCAACAAGTAGGTGTTTTTATTTTATCGAGCAACATTAATGAATGACTACTAACTCATTGATATGTTTACTATAGTTGACGTAGAACATAGTCATGTACGATTCCTTGGTAATTTGGTGTTGAACCTTTGGGACTGTGGTGGCCAGGAAGCATTTATGGAAAACTATTTTGCATCTCAACGCGATAACATCTTTAGGAATGTAGAAGTCTTGATCTATGTTTTCGATGTAGAATCCAGAGAGCTAGATAAAGACATGCATTACTATCAAAGTTGCTTGGAAGCAATCCTGCAGAATAGTCCGGAGGCAAAGATATTCTGTTTAGTGCATAAGATGGATCTAGTGCAAGAGGATCAACGAGATCTGATATTTAGGGAGAGAGAGGAAGACCTGAAAAGACTTAGTTTGCCTCTTGACTGTACTTGTTTTAGAACTAGCATATGGGATGAAACGTTATATAGGTACATCTTGCGCTATACAATAAATTTTGTACATAATAGTTTATCATTTGACTTGCGTTATTGTGTTCAGGGCATGGTCTTCAATTGTGTACATGTTGATTCCTAACGTGGAAGAACTCGAGCAAAGTTTAAAGCAGTTCACAAATATTATCGATGCCGACGAAGTACTTTTATTTGAGAGAGCCACGTTTTTAGTGATCAGTTATTGCCAGAGACAACATCACAGAGATGTACATCGATTCGAGAAAGTTTCTAACATAATAAAACAGTTCAAATTGAGTTGCAGGTAAGTTCAAGCAAAAGATCAACGGAGAAACGAATGTAAAAGGATATAAATAATTTTTCTAGCAAATTGGCGGCACAGTTCCAAAGCATGGAAGTGAGAAATTCGAATTTCGCAGCGTTCATCGACGTGTTCACATCGAATACATACGTGATGGTCATCATGTCAGACCCTGCTATCCGTGAGTATTTATGTTTGAAACTGAGCACTGAGCAAATATTAAATCATCTGTTCGTATTGTTTCAGCGTCGGCAGCAACTTTAATCAATATCCGCAACGCGCGGAAACATTTTGAAAAATTAGAGCGTGCTAGTCAGAGTTCAGCGTTAAGTAGATAGAAGTCAGCTCGACCCAGGCGCGTTGTCACCCGGGTCCAAACTGTTAATCATTATTGAATCTAAGAGTCATTCTGAAAGAGTGCCGTCGACTTATTCCTTTCAATTAATCCATAATTTTTCTAAAGAACAGGAATTTCCAGGAATCATTGTAAATTGTTTGCAAATTCAAAGAGATATTTAAATATCTTGATACTGATCTGTACGCTAATAAATAAATAACCGCCAATACGAGAAGGTACGCTATTAATGTCAGTAAAACATTATTGTTCGCTTGTCATCTGGCTCTTAAATAATGCGAGTTCCCTGGATATTAATTAATACGTATGTATATCACTTCTGTACTTTAATTACTGTGGCCTGTTATGAAGATACATATTTTCCTAATGATATTCACTTCATACAGCAGTGTATATACTTATTCTAATGGCCATACCATTGCAATATATTCAACTAACAATAGCATTACATTGTACGTTATATTTTGTATAAAACTTTTAGTGTCTCTTGGTATAAAAATGATTATTAAATTTGTATGAGTTTATTTACTGTTGTATTTATTAAAAACAATCGTAATGGATAATAAAAGCTTATGCTTTATACTCCGAACTGTACTTTCTAACTGGGCGAATAAATAGCGAACTAGAAATATCAAAATGACGTGTGAATTAAAGAGTAAATCATTTGTCTTTGAAGCGTATTTCGAACAAGGCGCCATTCGTTGTGTAATGGCGAACTCGTGTGCTGTCTCCGTTTTCAGGTTGACAGAACGTGTTAGAATAAGCGGCTGTGAAGTTGACTATGGATAGAATAATTAAAGGAATAATGAAATATAGAAACTGTCACAGGGAGGGAATGGTGAAACAGTTTCAACAAGTTCGAGATCATCCAGAGGTACGTCCTATTTGTTTCATCTAATTTATTCAACCCTTTGTTTATAAATGTACTTCATATGTACGCAATTACATTCTCAATGTTTTCCACGTTCCAATGCACCGATATGTAAATTCCGTGAAGTATAGTGATAACTATGTTTTGCACCTACAACATGACACATCCGCAGATACGTCGTAATGATACAATCCAATTTTAGCAATGCGAGCATGTTTTTTCACATAGTTTAAGAAATTTATCTAAAAGAGAAGTTTTTGTATGACTGCGTCCTTGCAAAGCCAAATATATACCCTTGAACTAAAGTGTCACTGATAAAGAGCGTACTGTACTTATCCGAGAACATGCTGATAACTGTTTCATCACTTTATGACCGATAAGAATAATTTTCTATTTGACTACTTATATTATTAAATAAAAAACATGTGTGCACGTGCATTACCTAAATATGCACTTTGATCTATGTAATTTTAATTATATAAATGTGCATAATTATCCTTTTTTATCTTTCGTTTTATTGTTGCGCGAATTGTTTCCTCCTCTCTGCATACGCATGAAAATTGCACACGCGATGTGTAATAAAATTGTTGAGACATTACATGATAAAGCGTTATGTTAATAAAAATGTGATACTAACAGTTTTCTGTATTATTAATAATTGAAATTCGTTGTTACTTTTATTACACAGCCAAAGGCAGTATTCTTTACCTGCATGGACTCCCGGATGATCCCAACTAGATTTACGGAAACGAATGTTGGGGACATGTTTGTCGGTACGAGATGATCATTATATATTCCCATATAAAACCAGCGGTCTTTCTCAATTAATTAATACGGTAGCGTAATCCGTATTTGTATCGTGAAGCATCGAAGTATATTTGAAAATGGCCCGATTGAAGTAAGCAGCAAAATCCTTTAGGCATCCGTAATGCTTCTGCAGATTTCATATTTTTCAGTTAGAAACGCTGGTAACGTTATTCCTCATTCTCAGCATTTCGTGGATGAGCTGACAATGTGCGAGCCCGCTGCCTTAGAGCTCGGCTGCGTGGTGAACGACATAAGGCACATCATAGTTTGCGGGCATAGCGATTGCAAGGCAATGAATCTGCTGTACGCTTTGCGCGACGAAGAATTCGCATCGAAAGTACGTAACCGGCTGGACTTTATCGATCCGCATTGTATCTGAACGTTTACAATAATGTCTAGTTGTTAGGTGAACAGGAGGATATCGCCGTTGAGAGCGTGGTTGTGCGCACACGCCAGTAGCAGCTTGGCCAAGTTTCAACAGCTTGAAATCACCGGATTCCATCAGCCGATACTCTTTCAAGCCGAGACACCTTTACGCAAGTTCGTGGCGTACATCGATCCCGAAAATAAATTTGCCATAGAAGACAAATTATCTCAAGTTAGTACAAAGTTTGCTAGGCGATTATATTCTATTTTTGCAGAAAGGCTACGATCTTTTTATACGTTATCTCGAATTGATATAAATACAAAGTGATTACGATTTTACTCCTGTAAATCTTAACGAAAGATTATATAACTTTTTTATGTATTTTCTTTGTGTACGTTCTTTTAATATATTTTCATTTCAGATAAATACTCTCCAACAGCTACAAAACATAGCTTCTTACGGATTTTTAAAGAAAAGGCTTGAAAGGCACGATCTACACATTCACGCTTTGTGGTTCGATATTTATACCGGCGATATTTATTATTTCAGCAGGGCGAACAAAAGATTTGTAGAGATAAATGAATTGACCGAGACGCCTTTACTCGCAGAGATTAAGAAATATTATTCTTAAACACTACTTAACGTTGAAACGGCTTCTCTTCTAACAGTTAAGACTGAATAACATCGATTTTAATTCATCGAATTGTCTGAGAACACTGAAACCTGTAGCGGGCTGGCAAGACAGGCGTTCATTCAATTGAAGACCATGTAATGTACCTGGATGTGAAAGTAGTGAATTCTCTTCCCCCGTCTCTTTTTTTATTAAGATTCATGTTACAAACTTGTTTGCACAAAATAGACGTCTATGATACGGGTGGAGATATTTATGACAAGAGTACTTGATACAGTCGTCGTTTCATTGTATATTAAGTATCGATATATTTATAGATCATTGGGCCGTCTGGAAAGTTAGTCGAGAAATTTTTTTCTGATGTTTTAGTTGTAAAGAGAAAATCAGCATTCCAAATTTGTTGGACAAAACCAACGTATAGCATGTGTTCATAACATTAAACTTATAAGAAAAATGATTTTCTTCGACCAAACTTACGTATAGTCAGCGTTAAGAGATATATTATTTTTTTAACTATATAGAAATGTAACGAGACATATTTTACTGTTGTTATACATACGGAGTTTATGCATGTACATTTACAACAATTTAATGTTATTCTATACATGTATTTATAAATGTAATTTGTATGATTGTACACGTTTGGTGAGAGTACAAAATATATTTGTTTTCTCCTGGGATCTTTGGTTTGATTCATTTAATCCTCTAACGATTGACTTCGATATAGTTTGTAAGCTTGAATCGCGTAAAATTGAAGTCGGAGAATAACAGTCGGAGGACGTACCGCGCTGACGGATGGATGGTTTCGTGGCCAGGCGAACTAGAGCATGCCACTCCCGAAAGAGAAAGCAAAACAACGAACCAAGGTGCAGAATTAGGATGATGATAAGTTTCAAATCTATCTAATATATCTATGCAACGTACACTGACCGTTAGCACCCGTAGTAAAGTGTTGAAATACGCACACCTACATAGCCCATTTCTAATAAGTAAACCGTTAATTATTTCTGTTTATATCTTTATTAAATTACTGAACAAAAAATTTTTTCAAATAAACGAAATACTGCGAGTTCTTAAAATTGTTCTCTAGTTAAAACTTGTTTAAACTAGAAACAAAAGTCAGATACCGGAGAGGTTCGATGTAAATTCGCAATTTCTCCTCTTAATTCCATAACTCGATGCGCATAAAAATCCCATAAATTGTCGGAAGAAGTATGTCTTCGGCTCTTTTCGCTCTTCTTTTTAGCGTGCATCCATCGTGGTTACGGCACGAGGCGAGCATACATTCTACGAGGCCAGCGAGCGAAAAATAGCTCGAGCCGGCTCGCGCTTTTCAGCGTGTTTCATGGTAAAAGTGAAGAGGATTCGCTATTCCGTCTAGTCGAGGCGAATCGTTGGCCGGGCCGGTTAGTCCGGTCTGCGGACTGTGACGAACTCGAACCGGAAGGTGGGAGATCAAAGGATGCACTATGTATGTACAAATACATATGTGAGCATGTATGATACTTTCTTCGTCTCCTCTTCCCTGTATCACCCCGCGATTCGCTTGGCACACTGGCCTGGATCCAAATGGGGTATCTATCATTCGTGGAGGCAACCGCGCGCCTGTCGTAACCGCAACAAGCGTTTCAAAGCGTGCAGGCTTCCGCGAAGGGTGTCACCATTAAATTCGACTCGGTTACGAAATTCGGGTGCACGGTAGTCCTCTTTTACCTGGGCAACAATCTTTACCGTCGCCACTTTGGTCAGCAATTTGTTTAGTTTTCTAGCCTGGAATCTGTTTAGAGCCACGGGGGGTGTCCTCAGGTGAACCAGGAAGTCGAAAATACCCTTGTTCACCGCAATTCTTCTTCCGCGTCCGCGTAGACGTTTGTATAGAACGAGTTTCACTTGAAAATATCCTGGACCCTTTTCAGATTCCAAAGATTGGGCAGGCTTTCTATTTAATTTATTGCTTTTCTAATTACCTCGAGAACAGACATTGACTACTAATTGAAAATGTCTGATACTCTATGCATTTTCCATTGAACGAATGCAAACTTCTACAGAAACTGTATTTCGCAAGGGCCAACAAAAACGTAATGCATTCGTCATAACATTTTTACAAAGGTCTATTGGATAACGTCCCTTGCAGGAGCATTACTCGGTACGTTAATTAATTACGCGGATACGAAGTCGTTAATTTTTGTACGCTCGACGGACGTTCCTCGCCCGAGAACAATGTTTCGGGAAAATACACGAGCGTAACGAAGTAGTAATACCATCGGGGACTGGAGCGTGTTATGCTTCGGCACACACCACTGGCCACGCACTCTTTTTCCCCCGACTGGTCGAAAAATCGAACGAACAAGAAAAAAGGAAAAGAGATTGTGCGAAATCGTGACATCGTTACTATCTCCCATGCTTCGCTAGCGAATCTGTCTAAAACTCGAGCTAACGAGGCATTTCGACATCTCCATCCAACGTAAAGGGTCACAAGTCTTTCTTAATTTGTCTTACTTTCTTCGTTTCTTTTCTCCACTGAGTCACAATTAGCCTGGTTTTATGTACGTTCGTCGAAATTAATTGCGTACCATTTTCATTCGTTGTACTGGACATAAAACAACAACTTATCTTAATATTTCTTAGGTATATTTTGTAGATCATCGTGTTTTCATTGATAGAATGTAACACGTCGCTTTGAAGGATGCAATTATAAAAAAAAAATCAAGTTGAAATTCCTGGTACACAAAGAGCGTGGAGACTTCCTTCTCTGAAACCGCAGAATCCTTACGTGCCCGTCGGTGTTCCCGTTTTCAGGCTCCGTGTTTCGTGCCCGAGTAAAAGTGAGACCCAGATAAACGGCCGGTAACGCCGTAAATATACCCCGGTAGACAAAAAACTCGCATGGTTCCGTGAACAACGCGTTGGTAACGAAATTAAAAGGGACACGGCGACGGAGTCTGTGAGTAAAGGAAACTGTGCGATAACCGTTATCGTTTAGAGAAACGGCTGTTGCTCGTATTCGGGTCGTAAGTTAGGCGACACAATTTCCTCTGTTCGTCGGTCGAATGTCAAGGTGTAGGTCCCTCTATTACAGCGCGCGTGTCTATTCGCCACCTCGAAATGCCCGAAATTCTGAGCACGACCGTTAGGCTAACGTTTTAACTGTATAACCGCGTGGCGCAACCCGTACGAAAAAAGGTTGGCCCTCCTCCTCCGCTTCTTCACCCTTTCTCTGACGCTCTATGAATTAATGCGTGCAGGTTCCTACGGCCCGGTAATGTCAGACGGCGTTGTGCTCCTTATGACTGTGCCTCCAGGGACAATAGACCTCATTAATGAGATTTATCGAGGTATAATAGCCATTCGTGTTACCGGAATAAAATTATTTGGGTCAACTTTAAAAGTCGGAACTTGTGTCCTGCACAATTTATTAGGCCATCACTGATTTTCGGCAAAATGATTAGAAAAATGTCGAAACACGATGCGTTTCGTCGTGGAGTAACGAGAACTCCTTTTTTCAGTTTCTACGTTCACCAGTTTTTCGCAAATTTTGCAAAGTTGCAGCCATGAAAGGTGCACCATCTTTTTGCTGATCGTTATACACGCCATAAAGAATAGAATGGTGATCTTTTTCCTTCTTTTTTAAATATGTAGAGCGTCCTTGATAAATCCTTGCATTTACGGGACGTCGCTCGAAGGACTCGTTGTCTCGCTTCGGTTACCGCTGAGGAAAATGTATGTGGTATCGTTGTTCGCGCGATATAATTATTATTGTTGGCCAATCGTCGGCAGCGCGGTGTGTCGAATGTCCCCCAATGATATCGTCAATTTTTGCGCGATACCTCGCGAAACGTAACGGTGGCGTGGCCACGCCGCGTAATTATAAAATGTTGCAAGACAAGTGCAACGAACCCACCGAACGTATTTACCGTGAACAGTCCAATTGTTATGAAACGTCTTTCCATACGTTTCGTGAACGGCCCCTCGCCGAATATAATTAACTTCAGTCCTTAACGAAATCCATTTATCTTTACGCCTTTCCAACAAGCCGATGCGTGTTTTAGAAACATCGGAACGCACTGTCTAATTAATGTATCAGAATTCTTTGTAAACTAAACAGTTTTTAAAATAAGTGAAACTTTCTAAAAGTTGTATACGATATTAAATTGCGTACCATCTATTTCTGACGTTCCATTATGTAGCTGTACGCGTTGCTATCAGTAAAAGTTGAATCGGTATGCGGGGAGGAGAAGGTGGGGAAGTGGCCAGAATTAAATTTGTAGCGCGGTGCGTGAGTTCGACGATATTGCGGCAACGAATTCACGCCACGAACGAAAAAAGAAGCGACGATCGGATCGAGAAAGCACAGAACGAGCGATCGTGATCAATCGTCCAGGTCGATGCCCAATTCCTCGGTACCGTAGGCAAGTAGGTATCCTCGAGGTTCTCAGCGAACGACTGTTTTTCTAACAATAAGTCTTGGCTTACGATTTTTGCTCGGATTTTACATAACCGTACCTCGTATACACCACAACAAAGAGCGTTGCGACACTTTGTAAAGTGCATGCTTAAATTCATGACTCGGCGCAAGGAATTAGCGCAGAACTAGATGCAATTGGAATTCCGACATGTTATTGATAATTAATTCGAGGATTTGATCTGTTATAGGGTCCATGTTAATTTCCCTCAGAAGATTTTCGTTTAATTCCCAAGAATCGGACCAAAATGGGGTATAAACCGTAACGAGGAATCGGAAATAGGATCGTGGGACCTCTGGTGCTGTACATAAATCATTGGCACAATGTAGCGATCGATCAAAGCGGAAAGAGGAGTCGCGAGTCGTGAATTTCACCTTATCAAGGAGATCGGTCGCGGTTTTCACCGTCGTATAAAAGATAGTGGTCTCGCGGTGCGTAGGTCGCCGGTGCGTGAGCGTGCAAGTTCAAGAACAATGACACTTCCACGGTATATAGCCGAGTACGTGTGTATACTTACGTACGTACACAGGATTTTGCCAGGCGACGGTTGATTGTGGCGGCGGCGGTGGCGGCGGTGGCAGCGGCCAGCTCTCTGTGCCACTGACCCACAAACACACTTACCTATGTTATACTATGCCTGTATACATTGTTTCTGCCTTCTGGTCGTCGCTATGCCTTAATGCCCGTACACAACGCGCTTCCGCTTCTGTTGTCGCCAGTTTGCATCAAATGAGATAAGGAGGTACCATTTTTCTAACTGCTATTATATCTGTTCATTGCCAGTCTTACACTTGTCGTTTCGACGCAATTCACATATCGATACAATTTAATGATCAGTTTAATTGCCTATTTATCTGTTATTAAAATGAATAATTATTTATTTCGTCAGATTCTGATAATATTTTAATCCGTTAAAAATTCCATTTGATTCCTCGGTTTTATAAATTGTTTCACAGAGACGAAGACTCGATCGAGTGTGTTTGCGAATGAAAATGTGGCGTATACACCCTCGTTTACTCTCCATCTCGATTGTCCCAGTTGGTAAACAGGACAAAACTGGAAGAGCGAGGCCTGAACGGGGTCCTGGCGCGAGACGGAGAGCAACGAGAAAAAGAGGCGACCGCTCGACTTTTTGCCATCGCATCACGTCGCCACGAATCCGAGGCGGAAGAGGAAACCGGAGTGAAGAAGCCAGCGTTTAAACCCGTGAACACTTTGTGTTATCACCGCCAATCACGATTTTAAAGATTCTGACCCACTCTTGGCTTCGAAACCGTGTCTTCTACGCATTGGCTAGACTCTCCGAGTCAGCTTGTAAAAAATAAAATCTTCGATTAATTTGCAAAACATACGCATCGTTCTCGATATTCATCTTTTCACACCTCTTTTCTATTGTCCTTAAGGATGTATTGGCTATACAGTCAATCCCAAAAGTTTATGTATCTTAGAAACACGCATTTCCACGTAAATAATTAAAAAGAAATCAGACGTCGGAAGAACAATGCTAATAATAAATAGCTACGTGCTAAAAAGTATAGAAG